GTGGGGCAGGGCAGTGCAGGCTGGTGAGAACTCTGCTCCTCGGGACAGGATGGGTGATTTGGCTGGGGGGCAGTTGGCCCCTCCCACCCGCACAGGGTGGCGGAACAGCACGGCACTAAGGGGCCCGGCCCTGCAGCAATAACAGCTGAGAGGAATGGAGGGAGAAGCAGCTTGAAATGGCCTTCATTCAGCAGAGGGGCAGGGGGTGGCTGGCACGGGTGGAAGGACAGTGCCCAGGAGGCCTTCTCCCTGCAGGGGAGGGGTGAGAATGGGTGAGGGTGCGCAGACCAGCAGCTGGCAGCAGTCACATCAAAACAGCTTCTCCAGGGAGGCTGGGAACATGATTTAGGGGTGCCAAGCACCCCTCTCCTGCTCAGCCTCTCAACACCCACCACCCTCACCCCTCAGTCTTCCCTTGCTGGCCCTGGGGGCCCTGGCCCACGCCTCCATATAGGACCACTTGCTGTGGGAGCCGGGAGGCCTCCCACCAAAGCCAGTGAGCTCTGTGCTCCAACACTCCTGCCACTCTGGCCCAACAGGTGCCCACCCTGGGGTGACTTTGCGGGTGAGGGAGGGTAAGGTCAGGATTGGTCAACCAGCCTTCAGGAAAGACTGAGGCTACATGACTGGGGACACTGGTGATCCAATCACCCCTGCTCTTTCTCCTGGTCCACTCAATCTTGGGTTTTAAATCTTTTTTTTTTCCTAGCACCTGAGTGATAAAGGACTGGGATTATAAATGCTGGCATTCAGAGAGGACCAGTTAGGTTGGACCAGGAGTTGGGCTAGGAGGTTGGAGGAGGTTCTGTAAACAGTGTCACTTCACCTTTCCTCTTTCCTAAGGCTATTGTTTCCCCAGGTCCGAATTTCAGCAATCCTACTACAGGTTAGAGGAGAAAGAATAATATCTGTACTATAACCAAGGGAAATACATGCATTAATAAATAGGGGGCTTACAGGAAAGACAAGAAAAGGCTAAATATATGACTGTGGGTATCACTGGGAATGTCTACAGGAGCCAGGAGGAGGGAAAAATGGGGGAAAGCAGAGATGGACAGACAGACAGACAGACATAAATGGAATTCGCTTCAGCAGAAAAGAGAACAAGAGAAGAGGGAGTCAAATATGGATGAGACCAGGAGAGCCTCAGAGACGCCGGCTGAACAGAGAAGTCCAAGAAGACGCAGATGTGACCTAAGGTTTGTCCCTGAAGTCAACCCTCTGACAAATATCATGGTTTCTGATACTTCTTCAAAATCTGTCCCTCCAGAATTTAATGCGCCCTCCATTTGGAAGGCTGTCTAGCTGGAGGGAGCCAGGGAAGTGCAGAACATGCTGTGGCATCTTGGCCTTGGCTGACCAGGGCCGATTTCAGTCCTCAGCTATCAGAAACCGTCTTTCCTGTTATTGATGACACTGATTTCTCTTGTAATCTCAGCTTGCACTAGCCCGGGCTTTTCATTGTGATTTTAAAGTTAGGGTAAAGTCATTTTTTGAAAGTAGACTGGAAATCAAGCTAAAAAGATTCATCTAAAAGGATGTGAAAGATGTCAGAAATAGGCAACAGGGAAGGGAAAAGGGACACGTGAGACAAGGAGGGAAAGGAAAGGATTGAGGGCAGGAAGCAGAGGCAGGCAAGAGACCAGGAAGCAGAGGCAGGGTGAGCACGGAAAGCATCGATCTGAACAGGGACAGGTGGTAGCTTTTGGACAGGGAGCCTGACGAAGCCCAAAGGTCAGAGCACTGATTCTTTATTCTTTCTGCGGGACCCTCCTTTTCCCTCTCCCGAGAAGCCAGAGCCTTAGCCCACGTTCCTGAATTACAGGGAGGTGTTCTGAGCGCCTTCCCTGATCCAAGTCTCGCTCAGCCAGCTGTCCTCGAGAATCTCTGCAGCCCCAGTTTGTGCAGGGGGTGAGAGGTGAGAAAGAGTTGCCTGTCCCTGAAGCTCACCTGCTCCATTTTTAAATAAAACCTCCCCCGCCTCCCGACTCTGAGAGTGAAGTCCTGTTCTGGGACACAAGAAAGGAGACAGATAGTGGACAGTCATGGAGGGACAGACTTACAAGGGACTTTACAGGGAGAGTAATGAGAATACCTCACCCCTGCACACTCACACACAGGCACGCTCTCTCCCTCCCACCCTCTCTCACACACACACGCATACCTGCACACACCCCATATGCACAAACACATGCACACAATGTAGACGAGATGTTCCACAATACCAGACCAACCCGCGGGACAGAGCCGAAGGAAGGAGGTGGCTGGAGGTGTCGTCTGGGATGTGTGTGTGTGTGTGTGTGTGTGTGTGTGTGGAGAGGCGGTATGTGTGATGACACAGAGAGGGGCCATCACAGGTTACTGTCGTGACTTTCCCCTGTGTCCATGCTCACTGGAGGGAGGCCTCCATTGTCACTGAGCCGCTTGGCCCTGTAAGTCTCATCGTGGATGTTGTGTGTCACTTCCTTGAGGTCCTGGAGGTGAGTCCTGATAACAAAATCTCGAAGTAGAGCAAACTCACAGTGGTTGAGGTTTTCCACTTCGATGATCCCCAGGGGGTTTTTCTGCTGAGGACCCTCTCGCCATTCACTTGGTACTGCTTGTCACTTCCCACCACAGCAAAAGGCATGCTCTCCTGCCTGATTTTGTCGTTCTCAGTCTTGTCCTCCAGATCCTCATCAAACTCCTGGGGGTAGAATTCAATGCCATTTACCTCAAGCTCCTTTCGAACTCTCTGCTTGAACTCGGACTTCTCCTCCAGGGTCATGGTGTCAGCCTTGGCGATGACCAGGATGATGTTCACCACCTTGCTGAGGTGTTTCATGAACTCGAGGTCCAGAGGCTGCAAGGAGTGTCCAGTGGGGGAGATGAAGTAGAGGCGGCAGTGGACACGCGTGTCAGGGATGCGCTTCTTCCTGGCGATGTTCACCTCCTCCTTCAAGAACTTTTCATGGGCTCCCAGCAGTTTTCATTGTTGATCTGGTCTCCAAAGCCCGGGGTGTCGATGACGGTCAGCTTCATTTTGACGCCACCTTCCTCAATCACACGCCCAATAGCTTTGATCTTCACCATCTTGGGGATCTTCTCCTCCAGGTTCCAGCTGGAGGCCTTCCGGCTCACTTGGGATTTGAGGAGTGTGTTGACCAGTGTTGACTTGCCCAGTCCACTCTGGCCCACGACCATGATGTTGAAGTCCAAACCGGTCTTCATGGTCTTCTTCCGAATCTGCTCGATGATGGTGTTGATGCCAATGTAGCCCAGCAGGTTGGAGTTGATGCTAACGGGCTTCATGGGCACTGCCGGTTTAGGCCTGGGCTCAGGCACCAGCTCTGACATGGCTGCGTCCGTCCTGGTCTTGGGGAGCCCTAAGATGACGCAGGGGGAGGCATCCGTAAAACAAGCGAGCAGGGTGATTCGGGCAGCCCACCTACTCTCTGGGAGCCGGCTTCCTGCTCTGTGGCTCAGTCAAACTCTGATTAAGGCTGCAGTGGGCACCACCTGGGACACGATGCCCAGAAGCACCGGGCGTGGCACCTCACAGCCCAGACCTTCTTGACTCCGGGTGTCTGATTTCTTTCACTTGATATTTTGGTCTCAAGGTGCATCTGTTAATGTATGAATGCCTCGAGTTTATGCTTCTTTCCTGCAAAGTGGTGCTCCATTGTGTATGAATACCACATTTCCTTTATCCATTCATCTGCTCATGGACCTGAAGGCTACTCCCAAGATTTAGTTGTTAAAAATTGTGCTGCTGTAAATAAACTCAAGACATTTCTAGGCATGGATGCACCTTGAGTTCATAGTCTTACCTGAAATAAATCAGACACACATAGGTGAATATTTCATTGATTCTCTGGTGTGAGACACTGAAAGTGTAAATAAGAACCCAAATGTATAACGGGTATTGTGAAATAGGAAGACAATGTTCAAATGGGAAGAGGAACAAGGGAGTGTGGAGAAAAGAAGGGAAAAGTTGTTTTAAAAAGGCAAAAAATGGGAAGGGGCTCAGGGAAAGGAATGGGGAAAAAAGTTGTGTCATGTACAGGTACAAATGCTTTACGGTGATGAGCTTATTATGTGTATCTAAAATGTACCAACAAAATCAGATTAGAAAAAAGTCCTGCTGCTATAAACATAGGTATGCAGACGTCACTGTAATAAGATGACATTAACTGTTTCAGGAAGATGCCTAGAAGGAGAATAGCTGGGTCAAATGGAATTCCCAGTTTTAGTTTCTTGAGGAATCTCCACGCTGATTTCCATAGTGATTGCACCAGTCCCCATAGCCACTGACAGTGTGCAGGAAGAGTTCCTGTCCACCCAGCCCCACGTCTCACCAGCACTTGTTGTTATTTGATTTCCTGATGATGGCCACTGCCAGAGTGAGATGGAATCTCAGTGTTGTTTTAATTTGCATTTTTTCTGATGATGGGTGATGCTGAGCATTCTTGCATGGATTATTGGCTGTCTGTACTTCTGAGAAGTGTCTGTCCATTTCAGTGGCTGGGCTGATGTTTGAATCAGAAGGTGAACCCAAGTCCCTGAAAGCCAGCACCTCCCTCCCTTCACCAGTGCCTCCCTTTGCTACCTCGGGCACCACAGCCCAGGAATCCCCATCCTCAAGCCCTGTCCCAGGGCCTGGGTCCCACTCCAAACCTCTGAGCCGTTCAGGGTGCCCCGAAGTCTGTGAAAGTGCTCGGGTGCCCAGGGTTTTCTCAAAAGAGGAAATGAGCCACTCTCACTTGGAAAGTCCCTTGTTCTGCCCTCACCCACCCAAGCATCCTCTTTAATACTGGGCTGATGGAGCTGGGCACAGTGTCACACACCAGTAATGCAGCTTCTCAGGAGGCTGAGGCAGGACGATTGCAAGTTCAAGGCCAGCCTGGGCAACTTAGGGAGACACTGTTTCTAAATGAAAACTAAATAGGGCTGGAAGTGGATTCAGTCCCCAGTGACACATCTACACAGAAAAAAAAAATAAACAGATGGAGAGGGCAGGATGGAGGCAAGGTGACATTTACTGCTGGCTGGGACAAGGGTACATAGGGAGCTGGGGGGCCTGAGGGTCAACAACCCTGCGAGGGCAGCTCTGCTGGCAAGGCGTGCCCAGTGGCACGCTGCTCTCCTGGGCATTGCTTATTCTCAGTACTACGGGGCCCTGGTACTTGCAGGGAAACTCATCCTTATACTCAGTGCAGAAGAATCGCTGTCGGCCCAGCGGGAACTCCACATGGCTGTACTTGCACTGTGGGGTAAGGGGTGTGGTCTGCAGGGCGCCCACCCTGTCCATCCTCTGGTCCCTGGGCCACCCTGGGGGACCTCAGAGGGTGGGGCGAAGTTCGGGAGTGTGTGGCTGGGATTGGGCCCCAGAGGTGGTCTGACCTCAGGGCCAAGTGAGCCCTGCAGACTGGGCCTGAACCCCGCTCAGATCTGAAAACAGCCTGGAGCAGACTCTGACACAACCCGGGGACCGACCCTGAGCTCGGGGTGGGACACTGGTGTGAAGCTGAGCCCTGGGCATGTGTCCCTTCCTGCCCTCTCACCCTCTGCAGCAACTCTTCAGTCATGCGCGCCCCCACGATTCCGTGTGGCTTCAACATGGTCTGGTTCGTGGTCAAAAACTCCAGTTCTGCAGATTTGGGTGGGAGAAACGGAGTTTGGGAACAGAGGGACTGAGCGTGCAGAGAACGGTTTAAGGGGCAAAGGCTGATGGTGACCTGGGGAGAAGTATGGGTTGGAGGAAGAAGAGCCGGGTGTGGTAGTGCCGGCCTGAAATCCCGGCACTCTGGGAGGCTGAGGCAGGAGGACAGCCATTTGCACCCAGTATGAACGATTTAGTGAGTTGTAAGACCTTGTCTCAAAATAAAATATTGTTTAAGAGTTGAGGTTGTAGGTCCTTGTGAAGGCCCTAGGTTCAATTCTCTAATTTCCTCCGTGAAAAGGATTGAGGTGGGGGTGAGGGTCAAACCAAATGACCCTAGGGACAGGGCCCAGCAGGATAGACAGCCAGACAGCCAGCAGAGCTAGAACCTGACAAGTAAGGCTAAGGCCAAGAGGGGACAGGTTGTCCAGGGGTGGACTTAGGGTCCTGGCCAATCCAGGCTAGGGGTTAACAAGGGCACATGACCCTGATGGGGTCTTCCTGGGCAGGGCTGGAGCTCCAGAAAAGAGTGGGATGTGCTTACCTCCCCCATCCTGCTGCAGGATGCTGGGCATCAGGTGGAGGTTGGGTGCCTTCTGTGGTTGCCTCCTTTCTGGGGCACAGTAGGCCGAGCGCATGGTGGTTTGGAAGAAGCGTCCCAGCAGCTTGGGTTCTGCTAGGGTCATGTGACTCTGCAGGTTTTCATCAGCCCCACAGTGGCTGGGTGGCTGGGTCTCAGGCAGTGGCTGTGAGAACACAAACATACCCAGGAAGCCGCTGAGTTCGGGATGTCCTGAATCCCACGTAGAGGAAGGCAGCTCGTGCTGTGCCGCCTGAGACAGCTCCCTGTCCCTCTCTGGGCTTCATACTGCTGCTGGGAATTGGCCCTGTTGTCTCATTGAAAGGGGACAGGGAGGTTTTCTTTCTTTCTTTCTTTTTTTTTTTGTTTTGCCTTTTTCCTTTTTATCGGTACCAGGGATTGAACTCACGACTGCCTGCTTGCAAGGCAGGCGCTTATGCCGCTGAGCTAAATCCCCAGCCCCCGACAAGGAGGTTTTCATTTTATTTTATTTACAGGGTATTGGACCCAAAGCCTTCACCATGAGATTCATCTCCAGCCATTTTTATTTTCTATTTTAAGCCACAGAGCTGGGATTATAGGTGTGCACCACTACACCCGGCTAAACTCTTATTTTGTGGTGCCGGGGATTGGGACTCAGGGCCTTGGGCATGCTGGGAAACTTCATGACGCCAAGCGACATCTCCAGACCTCTGTTCTTGAGTCAGGTCTTGCAAAGGTGCTCAGGCTGAACTCCTAACTCTGGATCCTCCTGCCTCAGTCTCCTCAGTAACTAGGATTACAAGGATGCACCACCCCACTGAGATATGGAGGTTTGAAAATAATTTACCCAAGGTCACTCAAACAAATCTAGGTGATCATCACTCCTACCTCAGGGCCTTGGCCCTTGTCATTTACTCTGCCTTTGAAGCCTGTTTCTCTGCTGACCCCTCTCCGCCTTCTCCCCCTGTCCGCTGACCTGGCCATAGAAATCCTGCATGGAAGTTGTGAGGCTGCCGGGGCCAGGGCACCAGTTTCCTTTCAGGATGTGCGATTCCGGAGTCTGATCATGGTGGAGGAGAAATGGCTCTGCCAGGCCAGAGAAGGGGCTGAGTGGCTTGGGAAGCTGCAGAGGGGAGGGGCCCAGGGTAGGGGGAGGGGCAGGGGAGGCAGCCCTCACCTGGGTCCCGAGGGTAGAAGTGGTGGCTCATGGTGGTCCTGTCGTGGAAGAGGCCGTCTCCGGGTGGGATGCTCACGATGTGGATGTGGGCAGCCGCCTGGGCCTTGTCATACCTGAGGGTAAGGTAAGGCAGGGTCTGCGGGTAGCACCCCTGGAAGAGCCAGGGGACACTAATGATGGGTGACCTGGCACAATACAGAGACCAAGAGGCCCTATTGACATCTTGGCTACTGCTGAGCGACCACACCACCCTGACGAGGGAGACAGGGGTCCTCTGTACCTGTCCGGGGGCAGCCCTGGGGGCCTGTGTGCCCGTTTCAGTTCTGAGCACCCTGGGTCGTAGCCAATCGTGCAATCTCCCAGGTGAATGGAGGAGGCTGCCTGTGGGCAGAGAGGGGTGGGAATGCCCAGTCACCCCAGGTTCCCTTCCAGCTACCCTCCCCAGCCCCCCATCCTGCCTCTATTTACCCTCTTACACATCAAGGCAGGAGGGCCTGGCAGGGCCTGGAATTGTGTTCTGTAGGAGGGCTCTTCCCGCCTCCAGTAATCCCACCTGAGTGTATTGGGGCCCCCTGAGGAAGGGCAGAGAGAAAGAAGGGCATCTTCCACAGGACGCCTAGGGTTCCTTCCCTTCCTGGGAAAGGGCGCTGAGGAGCCCTAACTAGACTAGACTGAGGGCTGTCCAGACTGTACCACAAAAGACACAAAGACAAGGGATGACCGTATTGTATCGGAACTGTTGACATTTTGACATTATCCCAGTAAGAGACACCATGTCACCACAAACCCACCTCAACATCCTCTCCCTCACGTCCAACACACATTTCCCATTGTTCTTGTTCTCAAGACTTTCTGGAGCAGTTCTGTCTGGAACTGCTCTTTCGGGGGCGTCTTTGTGAGGTGTGATCAAAAACACGGTGAACGCTTCCAGTGCATTCACTGCCATCCCAGGGAAATGCAGGTTCCTAAAGACACGACGCTACCTTAGTCACTGGGTCTGGCACCGTGCGACTTCTGGTGCCTCCCTCAAAGTCAAAAGGACCGTGAAAGGTCAGTGTTTTGAATGGGTTTGGGACATGGAGGCAGCCACAACAGACCCACACCAAAGAGGGCTTTCAGCACTGCTTCAGAAAGTGGGCCCGGTGCTCAAGTCATAGTCTTTCCAAGGCTCAGAGGTTCAGCCCGAAATTAGTGACTGACCAAAGTTTGCCAATCTCTGAGGTCCTCTTGGGGGAGTTGGACTTGTATAGTCGGACTTGCAGGGGCCCCCCGGCCACAGAATTGGAAAACGACCCTCACCGTGGCTCTTTTGTTGAACAACCACTAAGCTCCAGGCTTGCCTGCACACTAAGAGCCTTTTGCTTCACCTCCTCCTGTGAGGTCAGGCCCTGCAACGATGTCCATTTTGTAGACTAGCAGGTGGAGCCTTGGGGAACCTCACTTGCATATAGTCACATGGCTACGAAGGCGCGAGGGCTGTAGGTGGCCACGGGAATTTTAGATCTTCTAAATTCAGACCAGCACTCATATAACTCCTTCCCGCTATGCAGCACCCTGGGGGGATTCAGGAGGATATGCCACTCCATGGATGCAGAAACTGAGGCCCAAAGAGGCCCTCAGGGTGGTGCTGGAATTTGCGTATTACTGACATTTGGGGCTGGCTATTTTTTCTCCCCATGGAACAGCCGTCCCATGGCTGGCAGGATGATTAGCCCTACCCTTGGCCTCTACCTGCAAATCGCACCCTGGCTCTTAGTGGTGACAATCAAAAATGTCTGCAGACATTGCCAAATGTAAATCTTCGCCCCTCAGCTGGGCATGGTGGCGCACGCCTGTAATCCCAGCACTTAGCTGAGGCGGGAGGATCGCTGCAAGTTCGAGACCAGCCTTGGGCTACAAAGTAAGTTCAAGGCCAGCCTGAACTGTATAGCAAGACCCTGTCTCAAAAAGACAAAAAGAAAAAAGAATCCTCGCCCCTTTTTGCGCACAGGGAGCAAAGGCGCGCGCTCACCCAGATGGCGGCTGTGCGCGCGGGGCTGCGGACACGCGTCGTGGGGCGGAAAGAGCGTGCGGTACGTAGTGGGAGGAATGCGCAGTTTGTCCCTGTCGCCGGGCGGCACGGAGTCCTGGTCGAAGATGAGACGCGCGCCGCCGACCCGTTCCCCGGCGTGCGCAAGCACCTCGGGCCAGCCGTAGGCGGCGCGCGCGCTAGAGAGGACCGGCCCGGCGCCCCTGCCCGCGTACAAGCTCAGGCAGCTGCTGCGCGGCATTGCGCGCGCCCGCGGGTCCTCGAGCTCCGCTGGAGGCGTGAACGCGCGGCGCGCCTCCGACACGCTCTCCTCGGCCTTCCAGCGCCGGTCCCGTTGGAAGAGCTGCGCGCTCGGCGGCTGCGGGGTGGGCTGCGCCTGCGTGGCAGGGCCGTGAGCGGGGAAGTCCCGGTGCGATGTGGCGAGCTGGGTGCCCCGGTGCAGCCGCGGGTCCGGTCCCAGCGCGAAGTGCGAGGCCTTGAGAAAGTCCAGCCGGGACGCTGGGCACGGCGGGAGGGCGCCCGAGGCCATCGCGGGCGCTGCGCCAGGAGCGCGGTGGCGGGGATTCGGGACCGAACCGAGGACAAGGCTGCCTTTGACTCCTTCCTGCGGGCCAGGCACCGCGCTGGGGCGGGGACTTTGGGAAAACAGACACGGGCGCTGTGCTTGGCCCCTGGGGAAGTAAAGGGAGAAATAATCACTCGTGTGGCGTCTGCTGAGTGCGGGGCGCCGTCCTAGGCTCGGAAGGGGAGGAGGCGGGGCCTCTGGTGACTAAACAGACCCTGAACTCTGCGCTTCTGCAGTTGATAATGGGGCTGCAGGTGTTGCGCTTGCCTAGCGAGCGCGAAAGCCCTGGGTTCCTTTCCCCGCTTTACAAAATAGGGTACTGGGAAGGGCTAATTGCGGGGTGCTCCAAAGCCCGGGTGAGAACCTTGAATTGTTTTTTAATAAGCTGGGAGCCATGGTAAGCTTTAGAGCAGAAGAGAGGCATGCTATTATAGAAAAAAGTCCATCCACAGCCAGCTTTTTTTTTTTTTTTTTTTTTTTTTTTTTTTTTTTTTTTGAGACAGGATCTCGCTTCGCCCAGGCTATCTTGGCACTCAACGTGCATCCCATCAGTAGCAGTTCTCCTGCCTCAGCCTTCAGAGTGCTGAGATGACAGGCATGTGCCACCATGTCTGGCCACACAATCTCATGTCGGTGCTTCCGCACTGTGCCTTCCATCCTGTGCAGCTGCCCGGGGTCCTTTCTATTTCTTTTCACCGCTTCCTGCCTTCATAATGTCTGAGGTTTCCAGCCTCCCCACCCCCTTCCTTCTCCCGCCTTCAACGCCAAGCTCCCAGCCTTGCCCTCCACCGCCCAGAACTTTCCCGCTTTTCTGTGGGGCAGAGCCATCTCCCCCTCACACACACTGTGGTGTACAGGGTTTCGGATTCCCAGCCTCCGCTCTCCAGGAAGCTCTCCCAGTCCGCTTCAGCGCGGCCACTCGCTCTTGTGTTCAGATGCGTGTTTTTAATGAAATCATTTTTTTCTAGTGCACAGGTTTGTCGTTTTCTTGTTAGCAGTACTGGGACAGGAATGAAACCCAGGGCCTGGCAGACTCTAGGCCAAGCGCTCTTCTCCTGAGTTACATCCCCAGATCTTTTTATTCCTTTTTGTTTTGAAACTAAATGTGGCTAAGTCGTTCAGTTGGCCAGGCTGGCCTCAAACTTGAGGTCCTGCCTCAGCCTGCTAAGTAGCTAAGATGATAACCATGCTCCATCACTTGTGCTTTGATTTTTTAAAAGCATTTTGCATCCTGAAATAAATCAAAAAAGATTCCATACTGTTTATGGGAGAAACTGACAATTAAGATCATTATCTAGAGTACTGATTCCTGCAAGCATGGATTTCCTCCTCCACAAGGACACCGACAAGGACCAAGACCTACCTCTGGGGCTGCTGTTGGGAGCGTTGGGCTTTGGGGGGCAGGCAAGCCCTCAGCGCTCTCTGTCCTACTCTCCCCAGGACAGTCACACAGCCCTTTGGAGGGCTCCCCTTGTGGTCCCGCGCTGCTCACTGTGACCTTCACTTACCCAGTGATGGTGTCACAATGGTCCCGGTGCCTCCAGGGCAGCCCGGAGGACTGGCTGTGAATCCTGCCTCCTGGAGGCAGGAACAGGAATCCTGTTCTCCAAGGGCTTCCGTCTGCAGTGCTGACTCCAGAAAGCATCGGGAAGTAACCTTGATGCATCTTTGCCAAATCTTCTTGTGCCTCTGTCTCCCAATGAGGCCATCGACGGTCTCCCTGAGTGTCTGCAGCCCTTGATGTCATCCAGAAGGTCCCTTTTAAAAAGCTAGGTGTGCCAGGGCACAGCTGTATCCCAGCACTCAGGACGCTGAGGCAGGAGAATCACTGGAGGTTTGAGCCAGCCTCAGCTACATGGTGAGTTTAAGGCCAGCCTGAACTGCATTGTGGGACACTATCTCACTATCTCAGAAAATAACAACAATTTTGTTTACTTATTTATTTGTCTACTTTTTTTGAGACAAGGTCACACTGTGTAGTGCAGACTGGCCTCAAACTCACAGAGATCCTCCTACCTCAGTCTCCTGAATGCTGGGATGACAGGGGTGTGCCACCCTGCCTGACTTATTGAAAACATTTTTTAAAACACAAGAGAATTGGGGGAAGTGATAAACATGTTCTATATCTTTTTTTTTTTTTTTTTTGCAGTACTGGGGATCGAACTCATGTTCTATATCTTGATGGTTAGGGTGCTTACACAACTTTGTTAAAACTCCTTAAACTGGACTGCGGAGGGAAAGAAGGGTAACGCATTGAACTAACCATGCTGTTTTGTTGTTTGTAAATTACAGTTTGGTAAAATGGATTAAATTTGTGTGTGTGTGTGTGTGTGTGTGTGTGTGTGTGTGTGTGCGTGCGCGCGCGCGTGCGCGCGCGTGTGCCGGGGCACGCACATACGCGCTCGCATGCATAAAAAAAGACTGAGCATGAGACTGATGATCAAGCCCAGATGCTGCACCGCTGAGCTCCCACCCAGCCTCTTTTATATTTGGTACCAGGGCTCAGTAAATCTCTAAGTTGTCCAGGCTGGGTTGAACTTGTGACTCACCTGCCTCAGCCTCGAAGTAGCCGGGATGATGATGGATCTGTACCATTATGCAGCAGGATTGTTTTGTCTCGACATTTACACTCAGCAGTGGCCTTGTCCAACGCTGGTGTCCTGGGGAGCTGTTTCCATCCAGCAGAGTACACTGGGTGGAGCCAGGCCCATGAACACAACTCCAAGGCCAGGCCTCTTCCTGAAGGTCAAGGTTAGCTCAAGCCCAGTGTTAGATGCTGCTCATCTGGGCAGTGCTCACAAAGGGAGCCTGCCACACCTATGAGCCATTGAGGACAGCTTGAGGGAAGGGGACATCTACTCACAGCCTCTGGCTCTGCACCGCTTGGTCTTGGCTTGGACTTGGGGGAGAAGGGGCCCCCACAGATCCCTGAACCCAGGTTGTACCAGGACCAAACCTTGTTTGAGTGCTAGGATTAAGTGTCATAGTGGTACATGGCTGATCATCCCAGCTCTGGGGGGCAGGGAGTCTGCAAGTCAGAGCTTAGTCTGGGAAGCTTAACAATTTAGCAAGATTCTGATTCAAGATAAAAAAAAAAAAAAAAAAGTAAAAGCTGAGCATGGTGGCTCACACCGGAAATCCCAGCACTTGGCAGGCTGAGGCAGGAGGATTGCTGCAACCTGCATTATTCAGGGAGACCTTGTCTCAAAACAAACAAAAAAGGATAAAGAATAAAAAAGGGCTGGGGATGTAGCTCAGTGCAAAATCCTGATTTCACTTCCCAGTATCACACACACACAGACACACATTGCTTGTGATGCTTCAGGGTCACAGGGAAAGGGCTCAGTGTCCAGATGCTGAGAATGGCAACTGTCAAAGGATGTGGCCGTGGGTAGAGAAGAAATGGGTGGGCTCCAGGGGTCTCCTGGGATATGAGCCCATGGTGGAGGGGAGATGTCGGTGCAGTGTTGAGTGCAGGATGGCCACTGTGGCAAGATGCTGCCATCAGTCAGAGCCCTGCTGAGTGTGAGGGGCTTGTGGGATGTCCTGGGGGTCAGCGGAGCTGAATTCAGGTTCTCCCCATGGGAGAAGCCAGTGTGGGACTGGCTGTGGCATCTGTGACAGGTCAGGACAGAGCCCCTGTCCTAGGTATAAATTGCTCACCTTAACACTAGCTGTGATGATACATGCATGTCATCCCAGCACTTTGGAGGCTGAGGCAGGAGAATCCCCTTGAATTCAAGGCCAACCTGGGTTACACAGTGAGAGCCAGTCTCAAACGAAGCAAGTCCACTTCCTGCTTCCATGCACTGATCATGTGTCCATGGCAGAAGCTTCCAGGCCACTGAAGTTGGTCCCTAGATTGTCCCAAAGCATTTCATCAGGGGCTTTCAGATGCTGCAGGAATTCCCAGCTGGCTGGACACTTAAATTCTAGCCAGATCCCTGCAAGCTGGGCATCAAGGCTAGATCAGACCCTGCTGGGCCTAGTGTGGTGAGCTCCAAACAAAGCCCTGCAGGTAGGAGTGGACGATGCTCCAACGGTGCTGTGGGGACTGGGGAGACCTTCAGACCATGACACCTAGTGAGAACCAACCCATGTTGCCCTGTGGATGGACAGCAGCAGGGTGACTGAGCTGCATTCTGACAGCCAAGAGGTGCGGGTGTGGTAGACACAGTGATGGACTGCAGGTGCACTGGCCTTGAGGCTGGCTGCGGGGAGTGGCCTAGGTGGAGGGTTTTAGGTCATGGGGGTGTCTGACCTTGGAAGCTAGCTCTTGTAGCGTACCCTGGTAGGTTTTTTGCAGTGCTGGGGGTGGACCCAGGGAGCTCTATCACTGAGCTACACTTCAGCCCTTTTCATTTTTATTTGGAGATAGGGTCTCACTAAGTTGTCCAAGTTGACCTTAAACTGGCAATCCTCCTGCCTCAGCTTCTGGGGTAAGTGAGGTGACAGGTGTGTACCTCCATGCCTGGCTGCAAAGGGGACAGAAGCATGCCAGGCAGGCATAGTGGCTTATATCTGAGGCAGGAGGATCACTGAGAATTTGAAGCCAGTTTGGACTCCATGGTGAGACTCTGTCTTTTAAAAAAAGTATTTTGCAAGTGGAAACCGGACCACATCATGAGTCTCTCATGCTGTAAAGCAAAACCCCGATGAGATCCCACAGCCACCAGGCTGACTGCAGTCATTTAGAAAGGATGTAGCAGGGATATGGAGAAGTTGGAGTCCTTGTGCATGGCTGGTGGGGACATAAAATAGTGCAGGTTCTGTGGAAAACTGTCCGGCAGTTCTTCAAAAAGTTAAATCTAGAGTTACTCTATGACCCAGTAACCCCACTCCCAGGCGTACACCAGAGGAACTGGAAGTGGGAACTTAAACACGTGCACATGAATGATCTTAGCAGCTCATCACGATAGCTAAAATGTAGCCACAGCCTGAAGGTCCGTCCACGCATGGCTGGATAAACCAGATGTGGTCTGGCTAGACCAGTGGACTATTATCCAGCTACAAAAAGGGGGATAAAATTCTGGTATGGGCTACAATGAGGCCGAACCTCAAAAGCATGGGCTCAGTGAAAGAAGCCATATACATAGGGTCAGTGTTAGCATTTCCTGACTGTAATAAAATACCAGAGATAATCATCTGATAAGGAGGAAGGGTTATTTTGGCTCATGGCTTCAGGGATTGCAGTGCACAGTCTCTGTTGTTGCAAGGCAGGAGAAGGGGATGGAGGGGTTTTCACTTTACAGCAATCAGGAAGGGAGGCAGATAGACACAGACAGACACTAGAAGGGGCAAAGTCCCCATGGCCCATCAAAGCCACTTACAGTGATCTCCAATAAGACTCCACCCCTTAACTGTGGTAGCTTAGTTTAGTTATTATGAGTCCGCAGTTAGAAAGGCCTAAGATAGCGTTAGAGGGACACATTAAGCCACCAGTTAGAAATGTGGGTAAGGAAATTCCACAGCCCAGCCAGGTTAAAGACTAATGTAAGCAGCTTAGCCAACCTTAGAGAGGCAAAGAATAAAAGCCTGGGTTGAGAACAGAGAGATAAGCACCGTTCCCTGCAGGAAGAAGCCTCTCGGGCCGAAGGTGCCAAGTTAGACTTTAACATCTTCTTCTACCTCTAGACCAGCAGAGAACTGACTGATATGCAAGACAGTTTCCTTTTTAAACTCTTTGGAACTCACCCCCTTTAAAGCAAGTCCCCTTGATCTATCTATGTAAGATCAAGACAAGCATGACTGGACTTTTATTCAGAATCTCCATGATGGAGTTCCCAGCCCATGTATATGAAATAATCAAGAAAGGTAAACACACAGAGAGAAAACAGAGTAGGGGTGGGGAGAGGGCGGATTCAATGCCTGTTTCCTGGATACAGAGTGGAGAGAAGAAAACAATTTTTCTTCTACCCTTGTACTTAGCTCAGGTCCATGTAACACAAGAATTGAGAGAAAACCAACATCTGTTAACAGATGGAGCTCGTGCATAGACGAGTGATGTCTGATGTCAGGAGAAATGAGTTGTGGGATCAAATTCCAGCTAATTAGCATCTTTGATCTGGAACAGAACATGTTTAGGATAGTGGCAAGACAGGAGGACTTTGAGTCTCCATGGGGTGGTGAATTATGGGAAGGCAGATAAATGGTAGATAAAATGCTGGGTGTAGTGGAACAGATGCCTGTAATCCTACCTCTAGGGAAGCTGAGGCAGGAGGGTTACCATATATTTGAGGCCAGCCTGGCTATATAGTGAGACCCTGTCTCAAAAATCCCTATTGAACCAAACCAAAGCAAACCAAAGCAAATAGAACCAAAGAAACAAAGGGTCGCAACGGTATCTAAGGTGCTCAAATGTCTTTCCTGGTGGAGAGAGGAAGGTAGAGATGCCTTTGTAAACTTCTGGCCTCCTTTTGGAGAAACCGAGGAGGGGAATGAGCTGGGCAAGATTGTTTCAAAAAAAAAAAGAAAGAAAGAAAAAGAAAAAGGGCTGGGGATGTACCATAGTGCAAAGGCCCCGGGCAAAATCTCCAATGCCGAGAAAAAAAAAAAAAAAAAAACGAGATGACTTTCATGTTGTATGATGTACCTCATTTTAAAAAGGAGAGCGAATGGGTGTTAACTTTTGGAAAACTTTGATTTTTTTTTTTTTTTGGTTGAGATAAACCACGTATATTTTGCAAGACTCAAAGTTACAAAATGTCATAAAGGTGACAAACAGTCACCTCATATGCCCTCCCTGGAGCAGCTGTGGTTACCAGATTCTTCTTGAATGATCCAAATATTTTCATAGTATCTAAAGATGCCTTATTACGTTCTATATGATTATATTGTTATATATGTTATATATTCTGATATGTATTATGATGATCATACACACACTGTGTACAATAAGGAAAGGTAAAGGAGAAAAAAATCCCTCTTTGAGCCTCTGTGATAGTTTACGTGGCACACACCCACACGAATACATATATATTACACATATAATATATATACACACACACAGATATATCACACACACACACACACACACACACACACACACACACACACACACAAAATCCGGGCATGATAACACACAGTATCCCAGTAATCTGGGAAGCTGAGGCAGGAGGATTATAGTTTTGAGCCCAACCTAGGCAACTTGGTGCTTGAGACCCTGACTCAAAATAAAAAATAAAAACAAGTCTGGGGATGGAACTCGGTGTGAAAGCCCAAGTATCTCCACAAAGAAGTATATAAACATGTACTTCGATATATATTCATGTATGTACTCACATATCTATAGCTATATATGCAGAGACAGGCAGACACACACATATTTTTGTTGTTGTTTTGTGTGTGTGTGTATATATATATGCATTTGAAGATTTTATTTTTTGCTTCGTTCTCGGGCACTGAACCCCGGCTGCGAGCTGGCAGAGCCAACGCTCTACCCCAGCAATCTGGCCGCGGTTAACTTTGACACACTTTCGCGTTGCTCAACCGGCCGCAGCGCAGACACAGCCACCTGAGCTCCCGGGGTCACCCGATTCCCAGGCGGCCGCACGCACGTGCACGCCCTAGCGAACAAAGGGCAGCTGCAGTACAAAGTACGGCCTCAGCGCCTGCGCAGAACGCGCGGCCCGGCCCCGCCCCCCGGCGCGCGTCGCCGTCCCGTGACGTCACAGCGGAGTTGCCATGGCGGTAGTGACTGGCCTGGCGTCGGCGCTGGAGTCGTATAGGGGTCGGGACCGCCTGGTGAGGCTGGGGCAGAGCAGGGCCGGAGGCCCGGAGTTCGCTCAGAGCTCAGAGATGCGCAGACAGAGGCCAAGAGGGGCGGTGTCCTCGGGGTCCTACGTCGCCGGGCCTTGCCCTAGCTGGGCTGAGGGTCCGTGCTCTGGCGTGGCAACCCGATGTGGCACCTGCCGACCCGGCCCGGCTGGATTTCCACTTCCCGACTAGGTCTCGGTGCTTGACCAAGCTGTGCCCTGGGTTGTTGCCCGCACCGTCATATAAGGGGATTTAGGGTGTTACAGGGCTTCCACTACGGCCGGACGTTTTAATTCTGCCAGATCCCCTGTAGTTGATTGAGCATGAAGGTTATTCCGGCCTAATGTCCTGACCAGTACTTGACCAGTGCGCATGTAAACTGTACCAGGGACCGGGTCTGTGCGCGCCTCAGGGTTAGGCATTTACCTTCCAGTCAGATCCCCTGGACAGCTAGAAACTAGAAAGGGAATTGAACCTGACTCATTTCACAATGCTCTTTTTTCGCTAAAGTAACGCAAACGAATTGTTGCTCTGTCTGGTGGGTCGGGGCCAAACCCTGCTGGCAGCTTGCAGCCCAGCTAAGGACTTTGACTCAAGCAGGTTGATGCAAATCTACATTTCCACCTCCTCCTGCTGCCTGTGCTAAGAGTTTTGTTAGACTCTGTGCCTTTTGGACAAGTCATATTCCCCGTTTGTCCCATCTGCAAGTGCATTTATTAATTGATTAATTGCAGTACTGAGAATCGAACCTGGGGCTTTTGCAGTGAGCTACATCCTCAGCCTTTAACATTTTGTTTTTTTTGAGACATGGTCTCACTGAGTACCTAAGTTGTCCAGGCTGGGCTCAAACTTTGCCGTCTTCCTGCCTCAGCCTTGGGATCCCAGGCGTGTACCACTGCATCCAGCTTGGAAATGTCTTTTTAAACTTCCAGCTTGTGTTGGAAGCCAGTTGGTTTAGAATCCTCTGCACATGCAACCAGGTCAGGGGTGACCCAGCTTGCTTCAGAGTGCAGCCATGCTGACTGATTCTGGTTTCCCACAGATCCGAACGCTGGGGTACTGCTGCCAGCTGGTTGGTGGGGTCCTGCTCGAACAATGTCCTGCCAGGTCGGAAGTGGGGACTCGCCTGCTGGCGGTGTCAGCCCAGCTGAGCCACTGCAGGACTGTCCTGCGACTCTTTGATGACCTAGCCATGTTTCTATACACAAAGCAGTATGGCCTGGGCCCAGAGGTAAAAGGGTGTGTGGGTTTTAGGTAAAGGGACACAGACCTCAGGAAGCCAGGGGCCTCAGCCTCACTCTAGGTTTATGGACTTTTCTCATAGTGCTCCCTGTTGGACAATTTATTATCCTTTGATAATCATCTCAAGATCAGATGTTCTCATTTTAATTATTTTATATAATGCTGCACTGCACTGGGGATTTAGCTCAGCGGCATAAGCACCTGCCTTGCAAGTAGGCGGTTGTGTTTGATCCCCGGTACCAATAAAAAAAAAAAGACATTTCAATATATTGCTGCACTGCTGAGCCCTTTTTATGTATTTTTGTAGTACTGGGGATCAAACCTAGGGCTTTGTGCCTGCTAGGCAAAAGCTCTACAACTGAGCTGTATTCCTAGCCTTTGATTTGAATTTAAAAAAATAAAACTAACACATATGCACATCCTGAGAGTGAATAATGAAGCCTCCCTCCTTGCTGACCTTCAGAGGTGGCCATCTGTCCCAGGTGAGATGTGTAGTAGTCACACAGGCAGACACTGATGCTGACAAATATCTGTCATCCCCTTCTCAGGGTCTGCCACTTGCTTTTTCCGACCAAACAATACAGTGAGGTGCTCAGTGGTATCAGTGCAAACCGAGCCCCCACCTTCTTGGTATTGGGGGGTTGGCCCAGAGCACTACCACAGAGCTACACTCCCAGCCCTTGTTATTTTGAGAGAGGGCCCTACTAAATTGCCCAGGCTAGCCTCGAACTTGTGATCCTCTTGCCTCTTCCCAAAGTAGCTGGGATGACAGGCATGTACTACCATGCCCCACCCCTTCATTTGGCAGTGGGGGAGCAGCGGTGGCTTTTTTTTTTAGACAATCTTATTGTGCAGCTCAAGCTGACCTTGAACTCACAGTGACCTTCCTGCCTCAGCCTCCCAAGTGCTGGGATTGCAGGCTTGCCCCACCACACCTAGCCTCGGCCCCTTCATGATGGCCACATGGATGGTACTCCAACTTGTTCCCCATGGCTGGATGTGCAGCTCATTCCTAATATTTTGCTGTTACTGCGGTACTACCGGGAGCAGCCTCGTGTCTGCCCCGCTGCTCACAATCTCTGCCATGCTGCCTCTGGGATGGCAGAGACGGGGCCCTGACAAGGGTGGGGAAGGTGGGAAAGCAGGCTGTACATTCCACTGCTCCAGCAGCTTGGCCCTGCCTTACTGGGTAGAGAGCACCATAGAGCTTGGGGCCAAGGTGGGGGTGGGGGTGGCCTTGGGGTCAATCCCCAGCATTGCTGGAACAGACAGTGGAAGGGAAGAAGAGGAACAGCTTGGGCATGTGTCCCAGCCACTGTACAGGACAGTGTGCTTGCAGCCACGTCCTGCCACATGAGAGTCCAGGTGAACTTACAAAACAAGATGATGGTAGAGCCAGGTGCCGGCCCTGGAGCTGGCTTCAGGCCAGGGGGCTGCCCTCTCCCTGGAGTGTGGAAAGCAGGCAGGCTTAGGCCTGGAGGGAGCCCAGCCCAGCAGGCTGCCTCTCCTGCAGTATCAGCCTGCCAGGCCTGGAGGCAGCCCTGGGAGGGTGGGGAAGGGGCCTTGCTGCCCCCTGGTGTGGCTGCCTTCTGTTTGCTGCTAAGGGCAGGGGGGAGCCCTGATTGCAGTTGTCTCCCCTCCCTGGGTCTGCAGGAGGAGGATGCCTTTGTCCGAGGGGTGTCTGTGCTGAGCAACATAGCTGACCAGCTCTACTATCCATGCGAGCACCTTGCCTGGGCCGCCGACGCCAAGGTCCTGCATGTGGACTCTGCCCGATGGTGGACGCTGAGCACGGCTCTCTGGGGCCTCTCCTTGCTCCTGGGAGTGGCCAGGTAGGTGACCTCACCGAGGCTGTAGGATAGGTGAGGTGGGGCCAGCCACCTATCTTGGGCTTTTCTCCCCTTCCTCAGGTTGTGTGTGACCCCACTGCTATAATGAGTAATCTCACACCCAGAACCTTTAAGTAACATGGGTTTAGCATCTTCCAGGAAATTCTAGGGGGAAATTCTAGAGGTACCCTCAGCTCATGGTCCCTTCTTTCATTTTTTTGCTGGCCTCATGCTTGTCACAGTCCTGCCTCAGCCTCTTGAGTGCTGGGATGACAAGTGTGAGCCACCATCGCTGGCTTGCTTCCTCCATCTCCAGGCCAGCAGCACAGTGTCTGCGGGTCTCTGGCTCTGAAGCTCCTGCCTTCCTCTTAGGAGGATGCTTGTTGACCCTGGGCCCCAGAAAACCCATGCGCATGTCCCATCTCGGCATCCTTCACTCTGCCCCATTGGTCACACAGGAAGCTTAGTGTCAGGTCCTGGGAGGGATTAGGATGTCCACATGTCAAGGCAGGGCCATGATGGTGCCCAGCAGACCCAGGGTGAGGAAGTAATTCTAGGGCCTGGAGGGAAGCAAGCAGGGTGCCAGTGGTCCTGCCCTGGGTCCCTGGGCACCTGCCTGCCTTTCATCAGCAGGGGGACTCCGAGAAACACCCGTTTTCTGAATGGTTTCATGCTTCCCCAGATTAGTTTCTAGAACCTCCCAACAGTGGTTCTCTCTTTGGGGTCTTCAGCTTTGCAGATCTGCTGAGTTGGCCCAGAGCCATGGCAGGTAATCCCAGCACTCTGGGAGACTGAGGCAGGAGGTTTGCAAATTTGAGCTCAGCCTGGGGGAATTTAAGAACTTAGCAGAAGTCCATCTTAAAAAGTAGACCACTAAAGGTAAACAGGGCTGAATTCCCCACAAAATAGACCCAGCCCTTGGGGACCATGCCCGAATCCCCATGACTCGGTCACTGAGAAGTTTCCCAGAGCCATGCAGCCCTTCAGCAATGGCTGTGCCCAACCTCTCCAAGAGGCAGCTGTGTCTGGCTGTGGCTCTTGACCTCAGAGGTCCCCTTGAGCCCACTGTCTCTCTGGGGCCTTCAGGGGCTGGGGCTGCGGCTTCCTGTCCTCCACCAAATGGGTCCCAGCAGGGCAGCTCGGGTCTGTGTCAGTCACCTTAAGGCCCTGAGCTGTGGAGGCACAGCTGGGCCTGGGGCTCCCACTGAGAGGTGGGGGAAGGGAGGCCACTGGTCCCTGAGCTTGGGCCTTGGGGAGCTGGCCCCTGCCCAGTCCACCACATGTCCCACCACTCCAGAGGCAGGTCCCTGTCTTCTGTGGTCTTGTAGGTCCCTGTGGATGCTGCAGAAGCTGAGGCAGAGGCTGCAGAGCTCCAAGGCGGCCTTCACCAGGTGCGATGTCTGGGCCTGGCTAGGGAGGTGCCCAGGGGGGAATTGGTGGTGCCCCCTATGTACAGGAAGGTGCACAGCCCCGTGCACCTTCCTGTACACACCAGGTCTCAGGGCCTCACCTTGGGCTCTGGGTGGGATGCAGAGCGTTTTACAGATGGGGCACTGTTGCTGGCTAGAACAAGGAGTCCCGGGCTGAGCCTGCAGGCCCTGTGCCTGCCAGGCAGGGGTGTTCTGGAGGAGTTGGTTTCCCGAGGACGGTGGCTGCCATTCCTGTCAGAGCTGTGCAAGTCCAGCACAGTCTCAGGGAGTCTGGAGGACAGAAGGGTGCACTCAAGGCTGCCGGCCCTGCTGGGGGGCGTGGCAAGCTCTGGTTCCTGGGGATTGCTGTCATCAGTCCCCGCTTGTCCTTTCTGTCCCCACAGCCGGCTGCCCCGAAGCAAGCGGAGGGCCTTGGAGGCACAGATGCGGTCGGAGGTGCTCACGCTGCTCAGCAACCTGGCCGACCTGGCCAATGCTGTGCACTGGCTGCCCCCGGGCGTGCTGTGGGCTGGCCGCTTCCCGCCCTGGCTGGTGGGCCTCATGGGCACTGTGTCCTCGCTGCTCAGCGTCTACCAGGCAGCCCGGGCTGGTGGCCAGACTGGGGCTGGCGACCAGACTGAGGCTGGCAGCAGCCCCTGACGCAGCCCAGGGAACAGGACCCAGCTGGACCCCATGGAGGGTCCGTCCCACTGAGCAGTAGTCCCTGCCACAGGGGCTGCGTCTGTAACTGAGCAGCCGAGAGAAGCCAGGGGGGAAGAGGGGCTGGTGCAAGTGCTCCAGGGCCCATCCTGTGGCCTTGGTGGGGAAAGTGCCCCTTGGGGGACCACATGGGGAGGATCCCTGGGGCCTCAGAGCCAAGGCAGAGCTCACTGTGACCCACATCAGCTGTTGGCAGGAGAGCAGGGACACAAACCTGCCTCCTACCTGCTGGGCCTGGGGAGAGCTGAAGGAGAATCAATTAAATATCCTGGTGCTGGCACCAGTGCAGTGTGTCATTACCCTGGTGGCTCCTGGGCCCCAATGCCACTTCCCAGGCTGCCTTTCCAGACACCCTCAGGCAGCCCTGAGCAACTTCTCCATCCTGAAGTGGGGCCACTGACCACTGGCCCAAGCCTCTGCCACCTGGGAGGGCCATTTCAACACCAGGTCACACTTCCCCTTCCTGGGCACACAGGAAACAGTTGTGGCTAGGGTCGCATCTGCTCATCTCGCATAGCAACAGCAGTGTGCACCTGGGACCGAGGGCTGTTGATGCCTGTGCAGGGCCAGGCCACAGGGGCTGGGGTGTCTGAGGACATGTGTGGCTCCTCTGTCCCCCAACAGAGTGCATGGACTGGGTCACATTTGATTAGGATAAGGCAGGAAAGTGTGTGGTGGCTGCAGGCAGGCAGAAGTTGATGGGGGTCACTTGGTAACAGGGAAGAGGGAGTCCCATCCCCAACCCACCCTCAGCTCTAGCCTGAGCATCCTGTTTTTCCAGGACAGGAGTAGACCACACTCCCCTCCCCTCCTTTGGTGCACAGCGCCCGGCCTTAACAGCACGCCCCCAAGCAACAGTAAGATGGGGAAGGGGGGATTCAACACCTGAGTACACTTGAGACCCTGTTGCTTGTGGGGAAGTCACTGGGGTCCTGGTCTGGGTACCAGGAAGGCGTCACGGCTGGAAGGGCTGAGACAGCAAACATGTGACAGTGCCTCCAGTAAAGGCGGCCAACAGCTCTCTGGGTGTTTGCAGCACTGGGGATTTGCACCCAGAGGTGCTCCACCACCGAGTTACATCCCCAGCCCCCTTGAGACAGGATCTTTCTAAGGTGCCCAGGTGGCAACTGGACTTGTGATCCTCCTGTCTTAGCCTCCCTGAGTTCTGAGACTGCTGTTGTAGGTCACTGTGCCTGGCTTTGTGTTTTTTTTTAGAGTTTTTTCTCTTGGTGTTGGGGGATTGAACCTGGGGTGTCACACAGGCTAAGTATATGCATATGGTCTGCAACTGAGGCACCCCAGCCCTTGAAAATCTGAGATACAATTTATCCCTCACACACCCTGACCCAGTGAGGCACACAAGTCTGTGATCTTCAGTGTATTTAGTCAGGTAGCTGCCACCTCAATTAGTTCTAGGACATTCTCATCGCCTCTAGAAAGAAAACTCATGTGATCCTCCGGGCCTGCCTGTGTGGCTCTGCTCCTAACTGCCTGGCCCCTTCCTGACCCTCCCTGGCCAGGGTCTCGCACCCGAAGCCCCAAGGGACAGCCGCTTCAGCCAGAGGTCATCTTCGACACCTTTATTGCTAGCATCTGGTCTGAAGTTCTAGGTGTTCCCGCAGTGTCCCACAGAGGAAATGGAATCCCTAGGAGTAATCAGGGGGGCTAAGATCACGGTCATGGTCATAGACACCCGTGATGTGGACAGATCCCGCGGGAACAGTACAGCCACCAACTTCACAGACAGAACCGTACTCTCCCGGGAGTGACCGAGGAGCCCCCCACCTGGCACCCCACTCCCCCAGCCCCTCTGGGATACTGGGTGGGGTGGGGCAGGAACTTGTGCTCCACTGCAGAGCAGAGCTCGAGGTCAGCTTTTCTAAAGTGCTCCAACGCCTCAGTACAAAAATATACAACACTGATTAGCACATGGCACGGAGGGGACCTGGCGGACATTGGGGGACACTTGGGACTCAGGACAGAGCGCTGCTGACGGGAAGGGTCAGAGGCCCAGGGACGATGACAGCGATGGGGCGGGGATGGCAAGCCACAGGCTGGCTGTGCTGCCACTTTCAGCACGGTCTGTGCCTCGTGTACCCAAGTGGTCCCTTGCTGGACTCATGGCATGCGCAGGTCCTGCCCACAGAGCTGAACCAGGGCCGTGTTGCTCGCTCATGTGAGCAGTGCCTGATGGTTTCCCCTCACCTGCGCCTGGAATGGCCCTGTTCTCACAACCTATGCACAGACAAGACTGATGGATGGACTCCCCTCCTGGGTTTGGAGAATGACTTGGCCCTGCCTGGGGCCCAAGTGCCACCCCTCTGGGCATAACTGCCAGCCCAGAGTTGGGCATAGCTGCCACCACCTTGATTCAGGCAGCCGGGGTGGAGCTAAGGCTCACAGTGTGACCCCTGCCCCAATCCACAGCTCATGGAAATGCGGTGCCACCAAGATGGCCATCCATCCTGTGGCTGGCATCACCTCCAGGCCCTTCTCCTGGTGTCCTCGGAAATGGTAGGTGGGACAGAGCCCTCAGGGCTCCCTTATAGCAGCCTGGAAGGCTAAGGACCCTGCCTGGGGTGCAAGCTCCCTTGGCTAAAGCCTGAGGCTTGGGGCTCCTGTCCCAGATGGGCAGGACTATGGAGTCGCAGCCTCCACCAAGTGACCAGCAGTGGTCCCCGCTTGGTTTTTCAAAGTGAGCTGCTGCACCCACAGTGCCTCCCGGGATACCCAGGGTCACCCTCAGTCCTCTGCCCCATGGCCTGTCCACCCCCAAGGCTGCCCACCTGTTCCCACTGCCCGGCCTCTCCATGCCTAGCAGGGGTCCATGTTGTGCAAAGGTCCCGCCTGCCCCTGGACCACTGCAGCCCAAGGTATTGGTCCTTTCCAGGGCCTTAAGGTCTCCCGGGCGTCCCACAGTCCGGCTGGGGCCACAGCTCCTCTGACCCAAGTCTGGCCTGTCCTCCAGCCCCACAGGGACCCTCCTGGGCGCCCATCTCTTGCCTACCCTATGATTTAAAATAGCTCCTGGATTTAGCTTCGATTCAACCTGCCATGAAAAACTTCCTGGTACATACAGAGGCTGAGGAAATTACCCAGGCACCACCACTAATCCTATAGAAAGAGCTTCGAGACCCAAAGCACCGATGGGCCGACCCAGCCAGGTGGCTGTCGGGGGCGTGTGTGGGCAGGGGAGGGCACAGCTGGGCAGCCCGGGGCCTGCACCAGAGCTGCTGCCCTCAGAAGAAGATGACGTCCTCCTTGCTGGCCTCCTCCTGGGTGGGCTGCGGTGTGGCCGGCAGCGGCGAGGGGCATGGGGGAGTGGGCTGGAAGGTGATGGCCTCAGGAGAGATGTCTGCCAGTGTGGGGCTCAGGGCTGGCAAGCAGGGGTCTGGAAGACAGGGGTCCAAGGGCATGAGTCACCCTGAGAGACTGAGGGCAACCCCGCATGCGCACGGGAGTTGGGCTTACCTGGGGTGGGTGCGGAGCTGTGGCTGCTGGGCAGGAGGGGGCTCACCGAGCGGCGGCCCCTCACGGTACTCTCCTCTTTGCCCATGAGCTTGTTAAGCAGCAGCTGCTGCTTCAGGTCAAAGGAGCCTGGAAGAGGGAAGTTACTTGGGCCTGATCCCAGGCTGACACAGGGCCACTCCCCCCGCATTTCCCTCAGGCAGCTGGACGCTCTAGGGGGTGGTCCCCAGAGCTGGTGGACACCAGGCAGGAGGAGGGCATGGCTCCCAAAGAAAGCCTTTCCATCACCCTCACCCCAGTGGCCATGGGTGATAACCACACCTCTGCACCTGGTATTCCGGGGGTCCTGGCTCTACTGTGACCACATCTGGCTCCCACTCCCCATCTCTGCATGCAGGGTCCCATGAGAAGAGATCACGGGTTGGTCATTTCAATTTGGCCTCAAAACAATGGGCCCCCATTATGGGGGTAGCCCCTACCACATGGCCATGCTCCTGCCTTGTCCTCTGGTGCCCTCTCTGGGGAGCACGTGTGTCTTCTCTGTCCCCGGTCAGTGTCTGTGGCTGGACTTCCCAGCCCAGGGGGAGGAGACCCTGGTGACCAACCACCTGCGTTGGCAGGGTCCCGGGCTTTGGGGCCTGGCCCACCTGAGCTCTCCCAGCGCTGGGAACCCCGGCTCTTGCCCCCCTTGTCCTTGCCCCCCTTGGTGGAGGCGGCCAGCTTGGTGGGGATCTGCTGCTGCACGGCTGCCTGCTTCTGGATCTGGTTGGTGGCGCTGAGCAGCTGGATGGGCACCTCACTCTTGGCAGACCGGGCCTCGGCCGGGGCACTGTCCCGCCGGACCACCTCAGGGCGCTCCACAAACTCCAGCCCGGCATTAGACATTACGAGGGTCACCCGGGGGCCTGGGGCCTTGGCCTGCGCTGAGGACCCCTCGAGCCCTTCTCCATTAAAGCTGGGGGGCTGGGCCTGCAAGAGACAGAGAGACTCGTGCAGTGCTGCTGGGCCCCTCGGGTGCTCCTGAATATCCCCAGGGCCCATTTCAGCTCTTCCACCCAACTCTTAGCTGGGTCTGCTCTGCACCAAGGAGCCAAAATACATCCATGGGTACACAGTCCTGCTGCTCTCAATCAGCCACTCATGCTTGCACATAATTACACACCAACATGGTCACATTTGTATTTGCACTTGCCACCCAAACTGTTTGTTGTTTTTATAGTTTTGTACATGGTTCTTATGATTTTCCAGGCTGGTCTTGAGCCTGAGGTGATTCTCCTGCCTCAGCCTCCTAAGTGCTACCTCACATGGCTTGCACGTACTTTTTCACGTGCACGTGGACACTTGGAGGCCCTTGCACCCTCGTGCACCAGTGCCACCCTCCGCGCCCCAACCTCATGCGCACCTCTGGTAGTGCCTCGGGCGGCAGGGCCCCAGGGATCGTGTTTTGCTTCTTGAGCCTCCGCAGCATTTCCAGGCGCTCGCGCTCACGCTCCACTGCCCGCTGGGCCTCGCGCAGCCGCTCCAGGTCGTGCTGGTAGGCCTGGCGCTGGTGCTCCAGCTCGGCGCGCTCCTGCTCCAGCTGCTCACGCAATTGCCGTGCCTCGGCTTCGCGCTCCTGCAGCCGTGCCCCCGCGAGCTCCAGCTCCTGCCGCTGCCGCACGCACTCGCGCTCCCAGCGTTGCTGCTCCTGCCGCAGCTGGCTCTGTAGTTTCTCCACACCCGCCAGCTCCTCGCGCTGCTTTTCAAAGTTGCGCTGCCTCTCCTGCTCCAGCAGCAGGTTACCACGTGTCGACTGCAGCCGGAACTGCTTCTCGTGCTCCTGGATGGTGGCACGCTGCTTCTCCACCATGCTGTCCTGCTGCACGATTACCGCCTGCAGAGTGGAGAGTGGCTGGTGAGCAACACACCGATGCCAGGCAATCAGGACTGCAGGCGCGGCCAGCCCCGCCTTTCACTCCGTACCTGCAGGCTGGACAGCAGACAGGCTAGCTTCTGGATCCGCTGCACAAGCTGCAGGGTGAGAGGACAGACACTGGGTTCCCAGAAGGCCCGTGAGCCCGTATCATGTCCCCAGGGGAGGAGCACAGCTTGACACTTACGTCCGACTCCAGGATCGTCCCGAGGATCTCAGTCTGCAAAGATGAAAAGTGTCAAACCACAAGGGCAGGACCTGCCTGTTAGCTCCCAGCCTCTCCCTTAGCATAAGGGCCAGGAAGCCCCTGCCTGTGGAGACCACAGCCTGGGAAGGCACATACCGCCTGCGGGGACTCCTCGATGCCCTCCAGGATGTCGTCATCCCTGAGTTTGGAGTCCAGGCTGCTGCTGGCAGGGCCCCACCAGTCACGGGGTCTGGGGTCATTGCTGTAGACCTTCTTAAAGTTGCCATCTGGAACCCCAAGCCCAAGCCAGGTGTGTGAGGCCACTGTGGGCCCTGCAGGGGTGAGTGGCGGTGCTGGAAGTCTGGCTCGCACCCTAGACCCTGTCCCGCGGGGGAGTCTAGGCTAGGTGACTGCCTGAACAAGGCGATGACTTTGGTGGCACAGGGAGGGGACCCCAGTACCCAGAGGGCTCTGTGATGTTCCCGCCAATGACACAACCTCAGAGCAGGTTCAGGCTGCAGCTAGCGAGCACCCCAGCGGAGCCCCAGGACGGCAGGGAGGCAGGTGACCTCACTCACTCTTGCCAGGGCTGCCGGTGCTGTCGTAGCCCCCAAAGGTGTCAGCCCTCCGGGGCAGGCCCACAGAGCTGCCTCCTTCTTCTGCCTGGCCACTGGTGCCACCCAGCCGCCTGAAGATGAGGTTCTGGATGCCCTCGACTGTGGGAGCGGACAGGAGGAAGGAGTCACCTTGCAGAGAGGCCTGCTGCACCCCCTCACCCACCTTGCCTGATGCACGATAGTGGCCCTGCTGCTTCCCTGCACGCCCTCACTGTCGGAGCTGTGTCAGTGCCCTGGACCATGGTGGCCCTGTGGCTGGTGGGTGCCACAGGCCCTGGCCCCTGCTTTGGCCACTGTCTGTGTAAGGACAGCCACATGCAGCACGGCCCCGTGGGATGGCAGCCTGGTGCCCAGGGTGGCCCAGTCACTTACTCTCGCTCAAGGCGGACCTGAGGATCTGCTCCCCCTGCAGGGTCTCCGAGGGGTCGCCCCCACGGAACAGGCCAGGCGCTGGGCCCAGCTCGTCGAATCCGCTCATCTCTGCCATCTCCAGGTAGATCTGCTGCTTCTCCAGCAGGGTCTGTGTGATCAGGTGGTCCTTCAGGCTCAGGCGCTCTGCAGGGACGGGGATGGGACGCAATCAGCTGGTGCCTGGTGCCCTTAGGACCTGGCATTGGGTATGAAGATAGCCCCGGCCACTGGTAAGATGGGGACACACAGGAGGCTTCAAATGAAGAATTTTTTGATCTCATCTTCCTTCGGTCTTTGATCAAGGTTTTCCCCTACTGAACCCCATCTTTTCCCCCCTACTATGAATAGGATTCAATTTTTAAATTTATGTATTTACTTATTTTTCAAGACAGGGTCTCCTTATGTAGTTCAGGCTGGCCTCGAACTCATGGTCAGCCTCCTGTCTCAGCCTCCTGAGTGCTGGGGTAAAATTTTTTCTTTTCTGTATATTAATTTTATTTTATTTTCTCTTTGAAATAAAATGCATTTGAAGAAAAAAAAAATGAGAGGCTATGGCCCAATCTTATTTATTTATTTATCTACTTTTTGAGTCAGGATCTCACTGTGCAGTTCAGGGTGGCCTTGAATGCATTATGTAGCCCAGGCTGGCCTCAAACTCAAAATCCTCCTGTCTCAGCCTCCCCAGTGCTGGGATTACAGGTGTGCACCACACCTGGCTGAACAGAATTTATGTTACTTGATTTAACTTTTTCTCCCGAGTACCTTTGAGCTAAATCAAGGTCCCATTTAGCTACTAAGTGGGCCAGGCTGTGCTGGCACTTGCAATCCTCCTGCGGGAGTGCTGGGATGACAGGTGAGCATCGAACCTGGCTTTCCTCTATATCTTTTCTGGGTGCTGGGAATAAAGACCAGGGTCTGGCGCATGCTTGGCAGACGCTGAGCTGCACCTCGACCGCCCTTGCTGTAGCTCTGGAGCCTGGCATCTCGTCCTAAACTCTTGTTCACTCACGGACACGATCGTGAATGCAGTGACTGATGGTGTGAGGTTGCTACGATGCCAGCCGGGGTGCCTTTCTAGGTGTCCCCCGTCTCACACCATGAATTGCGCCATATCCCTTTGGGGCTCTGTAGTTAAAAGGATCACCCCAGAGGCGAGGTCAGAACCGGGAGCCAAAATAAACCTCTTTTCTTTGTATCTTACCCAGCCTGTGGTACTGGGTTATTACAATTGAAAACACAAAGATTCTCTGTTCATAAGCCTCCCCCCATCCAGATAAAGCTCCAAGCATCTGACCAATCCAGACTATTTTAGCCAATTCCACTGCATCTTCTAGGCAAGCAATCCTGTCCTATGAGAGAAATAAATTCTGTCACCTGTTTCCTGTGACATCTCATTCCTGTTGCTTTTCTGCTCATTCTGGCTGGAACTCTGGGATGGAAATAACAGTGGAGAAAGTCGAGGGACCAGCCCTGCATGTGGTTTTAGTGGAGCTCCTCTTACATTATGCTACAGAGTCTGAGGTTGACTTCTCCAGATGGCAAAGAAAATCTTGGTAAAGTATCTTCATACCCTAGGTGTGGTGGTGCCACCTATAATCCCAGCCACTGGGAAGGCTGAGGATTGAGAATCCCAAGTTTGAAGCCAGTCTGGCCATGTATGTGGGTAGTGACTGCCTGAGTCCAGGCCCCCTCATCAGGACAGAGGAGCTGCTGTTGGGGCTCCTGGGCTGCTGTTGCCATGTGAGGGGGTTGCTTGTGACTCTGACTCCCTCTTACCTTGGAATTCCAAGAGTTTCATGGCTCGGGCCTCAAACATCTTCTTCTCCTCAGCCTCACTGAAGGGCCCCTCTTCCAGGTTGGGACAGCTGCAGGGATAGGGGACAGAGGGCATCAGCACCTCGAGGGCTGGCTGAGGAGGAGAAAGAGCACCCATGCGGGCTTGGAGCTGCGCACAGGTTCTGAGGTTGGGCTGTGACGCTCATGTGCTGGAGACAGTCAGGCCAGGGAGGATCCTGGGTGTGGAGGGGATCTCAGCAGGAACGGCGAGGGAGCAGGAGGTAGACAGGCAGGGCAGGGCGGCCATCTGCTCCCTGGGTCTTGCCAGTGTGTGGCTGAGGAAGGAGCACAGGATGCTGTGCTCTGCCGCCATCGGCATGGCCTCAGGTGCAGGGCAGGGGATAGACAGGCCAGTGCATCAGCCTGGGGTGCACAGAGCAGAAAGGTCCAGGCTCGATCTGTCTGGCCCTTGTCCTGGGTGGCCAGATGTCCAGGCTGGAGTCTTGTCAGGTGCAGTTGGAATAGCACTATCAGCCTATTTACTTTTCTCTTTTTGTTTGTTTTTTTGGTGGCATTGGGGGTGAAACCCAATGTGTTTACAGTGAGTCCCCCTTTTTTAGAAACTGTTTTTAGTCATGCTAAATTGCTGTTACTCAGGCTGGGCTGGAACTTGCAATCCTCCTGCTTCAGCCTCCCAGAGTGCCTGGATGACAGGTGTCAACCACCACGCTGCCTGGTTGGTTTTTCTCTTTCTGCCAGTGCTGAGGAAGAAACCAGGAGCTGTGCACATGGTACAAGTGCTTTACAAGCAAGCATAGCCCCAGCCCGCCTCACGCATGCTGCCAAGGGCTCCGCCCCCAGCGCACCTCCAGCTGTTCTGCACTTTGCTATCCTGAGACAGGCTCTCACTCAGTTGTCCCAGCTGGCCTCAAACTTATGATCCTCCTGCCCAGGCTTCCAGAGTAGCTGGGTTTGCAAGTATGTGTCACTAAGCCTGGCTTTTCCTTCCATAGTTTTCTTTCATTTTTGAGACAGGGTCTCACTATGCAGTTCAGGCTGGACCTGAATTTACTAGGTAGCCCAGGATGGCCTGGACCTTGAAGTGATCTTCCTGACTCAGCCTCCTGAGTGTTAGGATTACATAGGTGCCCCCTCCCCCATGCCCGGCTTTTTCCTCATCCATTCTTGAGCATGGATGGACAGAGCAGCAGGACAGGAAGAAGACAGGAGAGCAAGGGCCCCTGGGAGCCTGGAGGAGCACATGGGGAGAGAATGGGACCTTCTCACCTCTCTACTGCACGGCGGATTTGGGCCATCCAATTGTTTCGGTCCTCCTTAGAGCCAGTGTGGATCTCATACATTTCAGGCCCTTGCAGGGGGGAGGCACTGATGAGGAACATGGCCTTCTCCTGGTTGGCCACTTCCCGCACGATGAGCTTTTGCAGGGAGATGATGGGCGGCTTCGAGTCCTATGCCAGGAGAAGATGGTGGGTGGGTGCCTGTTACTTGCTGCTGCTGGATAGCAGCAAGACCTTGAGTCTAGGGACTTGGGGTCCTGTGCTCTGTTAGCATGAAGATTTTGCAAACCAGAGGGAAAAATCTAGGCTGCTACAATGATATCCTAGTAGCTCAATTTTTCCTTTTTTGCCAGCACTGGGAATTGAACCCAGAGCCTCTGCACTGAATTTCACCCCGAGCCCTTTTTATTTTGAGATAGGGTTTTGCTAAGTTGCCCAGACTGAATTCATACTTGTAACCTTCCTGCCTCAGCCTCCCAAAGAGCGGGACGGCAGGCAAGTACTACAATATCCAGCTGCTTTGAGGTATCAATTTAATACTTTTTTCCCTCTCCATAAAAAGATAGAGTTTTACTATGCTGCCCAAGCAGGCCTCAAACGATCCTCCTGTCTCAGCCTCTCAAATAGCTGGGACTATAGGTGCAAAGGCAATTTTTTAAAAATAAGTAGTGAACACTATAGAACCAAAAGATAGCATCATATAGCATATATAACAGTGGTCCTCCTCTGTTGTGTATTCATCCAGAGAGAATTCTACAGTCAGGCAGAGTGGTACATGCCTAAATCCCAGCACTTTGGAGGCTGAGGCAGGAGGATTACCAAGAGTTTGAGCCAGCCTGGGCTACACAGTGAAAAAGTTCTCGGTCAGCCTGAACTACACAGTGAGATTCTGTCTCAAAACAAAAAACTTATAATAACCAAAGAAAACGTAGCAGTCATATACATTGGAGGACTACTCTGCCATAAAGAAGGAAATCTTAATCATTTGTAGGAAAATGGGTGCATGAGAATGGTAAGTGAATCAAATCAAACCAAAGTGTAAACATCAGATTGCTCCTCTTAAATGAGGAATGTAAAGCATATATAATTTCAAGAGTGAAACAAATAGGGAGATAAGACCTTTTGCAGATGGGACAGGGGAAAGAGAAGGGAAAGTAAAAAAAATTAAGATGTGTTCTGTCCATGCACCAGCTACCCATGAAGAATGAAATCACTACATACTGCAAACATGGACTAATGTAAATTTACAAAATTAAAAAGCAGGAAGAAATTAAAGGTTGCATTTAAGATGGAAGTACAGAACCAGGTCTGGCCCGCTGTCTGCCTTGGTCAATAAAGGTTTATTGACAACAGCTGCACCTGCTCACAGGCACATTGTCTATGGCAGTTTCCGAGTAGGATGTTTCGATAGAGTCACTTGCCGCCTCGTGACGCAAATATGTCCTAAAGGGCAGCCAGGCAGATGCCGCGAGGCAGAGACACCATTCCCTGGTCTCTGGGTGACAGGACTGTAGATGATTTGTGTGTGTGTGTGTGTGTGTGTGTGTGTGTGTGTTTATGAATAGTGTAAGTTTCTGACACAAGGTTTAAAGACGATGAGAGGAACAGGGGAGACGACCTGTGAAACATCTTGAGAAACTACTTTAAAATTTTTTTGTGGTGCTGGGTGTGGCACCTAGAGCACTAGCCCCTAAAGCAGACAGGATCCCTTGAAAAGCTACTTTAACCTTGGGGTCGGTCATGTGATCTGACAACTCCGGAATGAAGGGCGCACTCTCTAGGTGACCCAGAAATAAATGGGCTCTCGAGGCCCTGCAGCTGCTGCACCTATGCTGACCTGGAAGCAGAAGCACCTCTCCAGATTCTGCCCCCCCTCCCTTTTTTTTGCCTACTCGGACCCGGAAGCAAATACTCTGTTCAGACCCTTCAGCGGCTAGCAGCTTTCCTGACCCGGAAGCAAATGAGCTCTCCAGGCCCTTCAATAGCCGAGTTTACCCACCTGAAAGATTTCAACCATTATTGACCACTTTGAACCCATTCTAGCCCTAAAAATAAACAACTACAACTACGCTATAAAAATAAAACAAAACATTTACACTGACCCGGAAGTCAATGGGCTCCCTGGGCACTTCAGTAGCTGACCTCTACCCTGATCCGGAAGCAAATGGGCTCTCATGGCCCTTCAGCAACTGGCCTCTCTCCTGCATCAGTGTTATTCGACACAGCAGGGCAAGAAGCCAAATCCCAGCTGGACGCAGGGCTCAGCAGGTTCACCCACCGAGGCCCCTGCCTGGCCTGGCTCCCATGACGGGGTACTTAGGGCCTAGGTTCTCTGGAATCGGCCTTCCCCGGCCTTAAATGGGTGGCTACCTGGGATCGGATCCTTGGGGACCACGACCCCAAGTCTTCAGGAAGGAAGAGAGTCCTGCCAGAGGTAGCTGTGTGGAAGCGTAGGGCTGAGAACCTGACTACGTACCGCGGACGCGAAGACATACTTCTGATCCTTCTCCTGCAGCAGCAGCAGCACGTCGGTCAGCAGCACGGCCAGGACATCTGCCAGGACAATGCGCACAGGAACAGACATCTCAGAGGGCAGTCTGCTAGGGGTTTCATCACCACGCAGCTTCTGCCCTGGCCTGGGTGTCTCCTCCCAACTCTGCCCGCTCCAGCATCTTTCTGGGTTTCACCAACACTGAGCGCAGTGAAGGCTGGATTGCTTCCCCCAGCATCCCCTCAGTGGCTGCAGCTCAGAGCAGGCTGAGACAGTGCTCATCATTCTAGCAATCCGGAGTCAGAGGTGGGAAACTTACGAGGTTGTGGCCAGCCTGCGCTACATACTGAGTTCAAGTCGAACCTCGACTAAACAGCGAGACCCCATCTCAAAAAAAGTGAACAAAATCAACAAAAAGGAGCAGGATGATCAGAGCCAAATCAGTTTGTGCACCTTGGCCAGGCCATAGTACCTAGAGGTTCTCCCTGGGACGGCCCAGCATTGGGGCCACTCTGGCTGATTTATGGCTGACCCTTCTGCTCTTGTTGTTCGGGGTTGCTGGGACCTGAGCCACTGCACGCCTATGTTCTGCCTCCTGCTTCCATGATGCAGAGAGAGCTGGCCCCATCCCCCAATGCCCCGGGTCCTCTCAGTGCCTTGGTCCCTGTATGGACACCTTGCAGAGCTCGACTTTGCCTGGAACTGTAAATCTGAAGTCAGATTCAACAGACCAGTAAGCTCATGTTGCAGAAAGTGCAACTGTTACCCTTTGGGGGATCCACTTCTGCTGTTTTTGTCTTTTTTTGTTTGTTTTGAGACAGGCTCTCAATGTGTAGTCACACTGGTCTAGAACTCTCTATGTAGCCCAGACTGGCCTTGAACTCATGATCCTCCTGCCTCAGCCTGGCACGGTGCTTGGATGGTAGGTGTATGCCATTATGCCCAGTGGTAACCCATTTCTGATAACCCTGTATAAACCAGGTATCGTTTCCTATCTTATTTAATTCTCTCTGCCTGTAGAGAGAATGGTTCTTTTACAGCTTTTGGTTATTTTACAGCTTTTACTGCATTTAAAAATTTTTTTTTTTTTGTATTTGTTTCTCTTTTTGCTCCATTGACTAAGGCCCCAGAGGGTCAGGGGTCAGGTCCTGCCTGGGCAGGTATGTTCCCACCGTCGAGCTTGGTGCTGATCTGAGAGAGTGCCCACCAATCCAAGATGGGGTCTGATGAACCAAAGTGATGCATACCAACCAAAGATAATATCCACCAGTTCAAGATGATGATCACTAATGCACGATGGCACCCATCACACCAAGAGGGAACCCACCAATCCAACACAGTGCCTGTTGATCCGGATGGTACCCATCATTGCAAGAGTGTGTTTATGACTCCCTGACAATGCCACTGATGTTATGTGGTATATGACACATCAAGATGGCGCCAGCATTCCAAGATGGCACTCACCATTCCAAAAGAGAACCTGTCAATCCAACATGCCTGCCAATCCAAGATAATGCCCACCACTCCAAAAGAGAACTCACCAATCCAACATGGTGTCTGCCAATCCAAGATGGCGTCCACCACTCCAAATGAGAACCCACCAATCCAACATGCTGTCCACCAATCCAAGATGGCACCCACCACTCCAAAAGACAATCCACCAATCTACCATGGTGCCTAGCCCTCCAAGATAGTGTCCACCAATCCAACATGGTGTTCACCATTCCCAGATGGGTCTCACTACTCCAAAACAGAACACATGAATCCAACTTGGTGTCTGCCAATTCAAGATGGCACTCACCATTCTAAGGTAGTGGCCACCAATGTGACATAGCAACTGCTAGAGGAGGTCAGGGACAGAGCTTTACCTTTGAAGCGCCCTGAGGTAGTCTTCCAGCACAGTGTCCCCTCCAGTTGGAGCTGCCGCTGCAGCATGTCCTCCTTGCGGAAAGTAAGCCCATTCTTGAGTTTGCTGGAGGACTTCAGGTCCATTTTGCCTGCAATTTCTTTGAGGCGCTGGCCCTTTTCCCACTCGCTGACTTTGGTGTCCACTTGGGAGATGACATCCCTGATGAGGTCCAGGGCCTGAGTCAGGTCTTCATAGTCCTCGGTGCCCACTGCCATACACACAGAATCACACAACATCCACAGATTTGCTATGCATGGGGGATCTGGGAGGTACAGTCCCTGAGGCCACTGTCCTGGGGAACCTCAATATTTAACTCCTAGCTCGAATCCCCAAGATGGAAATGGCCTCCACAATCATCACAAAGTCCCAGAGTTTAGTTTTTACCTATGTAGAGCTGTGGCATGCAGAAGCTAAGGTGTGATTCACGTGACCACAACTGCCCTACCTTGCTCTTCCGGCTACTACTTGGTATCCACCGCCCCAACTCTACCAGCTCCTACTAAAGACTGTCTCTACCTCTTGCTGTGACCAAGAGCCGGCTCCTCCTCTTGCTCCAGCAACATGATTGGGAGCATTCCCGTTCTCCCAGTCTGGCTCCACTGGTGAAGTGGCTGCTATGACCCTCCTGCCTGGTCCCGGAGAAGCTCTGGGTAGGCCATGGACCCTCTGTGCTCTGCCCTTCTTGGTTCCAGGCATAGCACTTTGTTGCCCTTGGTCATGTGACAAAGAGGTCACCCCTGGGCCTGTCTGGGTAAGTCAGGAATCACCTTGCTTTACTCCATTTATCTGGGCCACAGAGGCTGACCTGGGCCCTCTTCCGGCCTGGCCTGAGCTAGGGGCAGGAGTTCCAGTAAGCAGATGTGAGCCAGTCCTTGTTTCCTCTTTTGTTTTTCTGAGACAGGGTTTTGCCATGTAGTCCAGGCCAGTCTTAAACTTGCAGTGTAGCCCAGGTTGGCTGTGAATATATGATCCTCCCGCTCAGCCTCAGGAGTGCTAGGATTATAATCATGCCTAGCTCTGGCCTCTGCTTTTATGGTGTGGACCATCTCACCTTTCTCCTGTTGTTGGAAACCCTGGAAGCTAGCACAGTGGATCCCAAGGGGAACTGACCCAACCCACTGCCATGTCTGGGCTACCAGACCCACTGTAGCTTAACAGGGCCTGGGGTGCCCCCTACCTTCCGTGTTCTGGATGATGCGTTCCACCAGCACCGGGTACTTGGTGATGCGCTGAGTGACGAGAAGAATGCACTCCTGCACACCCAGCCGCCTTACGATGGAAAAGTTGCCGATTTTCTATGAACCAGAAAACAAGGCCTTGTGTGAGCGTCTCTTCTGCTGGGTCAGTTAACGATCAGTTTCCAAGTCTGGGGTTGGGGGAGACATCCTTCCTCTTCAGCTTGCTGGGACCTCTCCTGTGCTGATCTGTGGGGTTACTCACTGGATATCTGAAAGTGGGGGTCACCTGCTGTACTCAGGAGTCCACATTTGTTAAGGGGGTTCTCACTTAATAATGTGAACCAGGTCCCTGCAAAATTGGGTAAGGAGGAGCAAGAGTATGTCATGGGGGAGCTGCGTGCCCCACCTTTCAAGCTGTCTGGTGCCTGTGTGTGTACACAGAGAGCCCTGAACCCTGCCAACAGCTCCTGTCCCCTGGCCCTGCAGACAAGCCTGGGTATGTCCTTCATCCTAGCGAGGGCTCCCTGGTGGTGGACACGCACACCCCCCCTGGCTGACAGCCAAAGAGGCGGCCTCTGGGACTCATTTCCTGGTGGACTGGGGCACTTCCTGTGCACCTTGGAGCCTGCCACACATTCTGAGGGTTTCCCGCCACTGCTGGCCTATGCACTCTAGGAATGCGGGCTGGGAACTACAGAGACTCACGTCTTTTTTTCCCCCAGTACTAAGGATTCAGCCCAAGGTCTTTACACTGAGCCACAACCCCAGCTCTTATTTCATTTTGAGACAGGGTCTTGCTAAGATGCCTAGGTGGGGCTTGAACTTGCAATCCTCCTTCCTCAATTTCCCAGAGTGCTGGCATTCCAAGGGTGTACTACAATTGAGCTATTTTTGTGCAACAGGTCTTGCTGTGTTTTACCCAGCAAAACAGAATGGCCTAGAATTCCTGGACTCAAGCAATCTCATGCCTCAGGCCTCTGAGTACCTGTGACACATCTTTCCTAACTTCAGTCCACTAGCAGGTGAGAAGAACCCTGCAACAATGACCGCGGGACATAAGAATCAGGCTGTAGAGTTGCTCTGGTGCCTGGAACCGAAGCAAGCAAAGGTACTGAAAGAGTGATTGGTAGCAGACTGAGCGTCCTTTCTGGGACACTGTAGCCCAAACTCACAGCGATCCTCCTGCCTCAGCCTCCCGAGTGCTGGGATCCTAGGTGTGCACCCCCACACCGAGCTACTCTGACTCAAGTTCACCTTGGGTTTCTATGTGAAATTTCACTGATGTGTTCTGAGTCAGTTTGTGATAGAAAGCAAAACTGAAATGTGAAACTCTCAATCAACACTTGATAGCTTCCCAAGATGCTACAATTCTGTGTGGGGAAAAAAATCTACAGCAAAGAAAAGATTCTAATTGAAAAAAGTTTATTTTTTACCTTGATCAAGTTTTGAAATTTCTTGTTTTGCTGCAGCAGTAACTTGTAATGACTGACGGCTTCGTTGTGGCCACTACAGAATACACCGTATTTCTCCTTCATTCTCTCCCCGTTTTCACCTGAAAACTAATGTCAAAGAGGATGGAAATGTCACCCAAGGGTAACTGGAGGACCAGCAAGGCGTGTTTTCCTCTAGTTGATGCGGCTTGCGATTTTACCTTCTCACACGTATTCGATCGGGGGTACATTGCCGGGTGGTGTTTAATTCCAAGGTACAACTCAGGTGAAATAAGATCACTGTGTGCACCAGGATTTTCACTACATCATGGATCTGCGGTCCCCAACCTTTCTGGTACCACGAATCAACGGCTTCAGAATAATTCAAAGGAGCAAGCATGCCCTGGGTACTGAGCATGCGTGGATGGGGTAGGGGTGAGGGTAGGGCATGGGGAGGTGTTTAAGCTGCACTCCACCTCCATAGTGAGACTCTAACGCTGCCTGGGACTGTAACTACAGATGGGGCTTCCTCCTGAGCACCTGATTCCTAACCAAACCCAGGGAGTGGGGTCCCTCCTCTACTGAAAACTTAACAGTTGAAAGCTTTCTGAGATCCAAGGAGAAAATAAGTGTAAGCCAAAGGATATTAGCAAACTGAAAAGTCAAAGTGGTCCTCTTTTAGTTCCTTCTAAAATTAAATCAAATTCTAATGATGGGCTGAGGTGCTCTGGGCAAGCTGTCTGAGGCTAGACGGGGGCAGTGTCCCCGAACCCCGCCGCCCTCCTGGTTTAGGTTCCAAAGTGAGTGCGAGGGGTCCACAGTCCTACTGCACCCCGCGGGTCTAGAAGTATGCTTCCAACAAAAGCTGCGACTGTGACCTTAAAGTACAAAACAACTAACCACACTAAAAGCACAGAAAAATGCAACTCAAAACCGCTCTGACAGGAGTGCCTGTTAGTTCAGCCTAAGTCACTAGAGTAGATAGGAGCTTCCAATGGAAGCCAGGGGCAGGGGACACTGTTTTTCTTTTTTGTTTTGGTTTTGTGTGTGTATGGGGAGGGATGCACTGGGGCTTGAACCCATGGCCTCAGGCTCCCTAGGCAAGGGCTCCACCTCTGAATGATGAAATCAGTCCTCGGTGGAGGCAGCGACTCACGGCCACGCCCACCTGCTGGACCAATCCTCACTGGGGGCGGGAGCTAATGGCCACACCCACCGCTGGACTAATCCCCACAGGGGTGGGGACTCATGGCCACACCCAGTTGTTGGCCCAATCCTGACCGCGGGGCTCAGGGCCACACCCACCTGTTGGACCAGGAGGTCCCCAATCTTCTGGATGACATAGTTTCGCTCGCTGCCCTCCTCCAGGGCCTCTTGGCGGCGCTCCTTGAGGCGGGCCAGGAAGTCGCTGTGCATCTCCAACAGGTCGTCCACACTCGGGAAGAGGCGGCCGATGGCCTGGCCACTGAACTGCAGCTCATCCCGCAACGCCCTGGAGTACACCTTCACCATGATCTTCAGCGTGCGCACGTGGTGCGCCTCCGTCTGCATCAGCTCTGCAGGGACATGGTGGGGACCTGGGCATCATCTGCCACGTGGCTGAGGTGATCTGGGGGGCACCCACCTCAGCCCTTTCCTTTGCTGCCTTTTTCTTTCTTTTTCTGAGACAGGATCTCCCTATGCAGTTCAGGCTGGCCTTGAGCTCACTCTAGGCCAGGCTGGTCTCAGTCTCAGCCTCCTGAGTGCTGGGATTACAGGGGTATGCCATCACACCGGGCATGACCTTTTGCATGTAACTTTTAAAACAGTTTTTACAAAGAAATGGAATGTCACTGGCCTTCAATGGCTGGGGATCAGATGACCCTCCTACCTCAGCCTCCTGAATAGCGGGAGTGACAGGCTTTTTTAATTTTAATTTTTATTTGTCCATGTTCGCTGTACATAAAGATTACATTCCTTGTGTGCAGCTGGTACATGGACATAACACATCTTCATCCGTTTTTCTTCCCTCTTCCCGCCAGCTCATTTTCCTTCTCAGGTGAAAAACATTTAACTCCCTCCTTCCTGTCCTCTGTTATTCTGCTCTCTCTGTATGAGTTTCCATGTAAGAGTAGCCATGCAATACCCATGTTTCCAGCAGCACAGACCATAATGGCTACTCTTGGAAGCAGCTCGTACGCCCCTCAGCAGACGAGTGGATAAAGAACATGTGTTTAGAGACAATGGAGCACTACTCTGCCATAAAGAAGGGTAAGCATGAGCCACCCTAGGTAAATGGATGCACCCTGAGACCACAGTGTGAAGTGCCCAAGCCTCCTCCACCCTTGACTCGCCCCATAGTGCTGTGGGAGTCCCAGGCTAAAGGAGAGGAGAAAAGAGGGCCCAGGCAGGCGTTTTCACACAAGAAGGCTGCTCTGAGCAACAGCGCACCTGTGGTGTGAAACTCAACTCATCTGTACCCGTCTGTGATCCCCAAAATTCACAGCCCAAACCTTACACCCAAAGCCATGGTGTTGAGGGGGATAATGGGGAGGAGGTTAGGTCACAAAAGTTAAGGTCTCACAGATGGGGAGACCCCGAGATAGGTGTGGTGGTACATCCTAAATCCCAACTACGCAGGAGGCTGAAGCAGGAGGATCACAAGTTTGAGGCCAGCCTGGTTAATTTAGCGAGACTTACTTTGAAACTCAGAGATGGAAAGGACTAGGGATGTAGCTCAGGCATGTCGTGGTCCTGGTCCCACCTGCAGAGCAACACACGGCCTGCACTGTGGGAGGACACAGCGAGATGCAGCCGCCTGGGACCAGGAAGCAGCTCTTCCCAGACACCCGAGGAGTCTGCTGGCGTCTGGGAGCTCTTTTCTGTCTGTCTTTATTTCTCTCTCTCTCTTTTTTTTTTTTTTGTCTTTTTGAGACAGGGTCTCACTATGCAGTTCAGGCTGGCCTTGAGCTCACTTTGTAGCCCAGGCTGGTCTCAAACCTGGTTTGATTCTCCTGCCTCAGCCTCCCAAGTGCTGGGATGATAGGTGAGCACCAAGGAGCCGGCCAACGGGAGCTGCTTCTAAGTCACCTGCCTCCAGGGTTAGAGCAGCCCACAGGGAAGGTAGAGCCCAGGAGGGTTTTGGGGAAGGCTGACTCACACCTGAGCACCTGGCCAGGCCAGGCCCCTCTGTAGGGACTCAGGAGACACAGCCTCACCCTCTTATCCCAGGCCAGCAGCAGCAGGGCTGCCCAGGGGACTGGGGTGACAGGTGGTGTGGGGGGTGAGGGAGGTGACAAGCACATCCTACCGTAGAGCACGTCCTGTCTTTTCACCACCTCCCTCTTCTGCTTCTTGGCGTAGGTGGAGTCCACGGCCAGGCTCCAGGACTCTGCCTCGAACTCGTGGGCATCCGATTCGATCTCACTCCTCAGCGAGGCGATGTAGTGGTCTGAGGGGAGATGGGAGCGGCTAGACCACAGCCCTGCATCCCTGGCAGGGACACCCAGAAGGGGCCCCTGGTGGCAACTGTACCTTCCACGAAGATGGGCTCAGTGCTGGCAACTGTAAGGGTGAGGGAGTCCTCAGCTGCCTGCTTGAACTTCAGAAACGTAGAATCGGCTTCGTCCATCTCTCCTGTGACTGGGCTGGGTGGGAAACAATCAACACAGTTAGTTCAAACCACTGGATTTGTCACTCATGCTCAGCCCCCCTGGCTGCCAAGGCAGGGGTCAGTTCGTTGCTCTGGCTCATTACATAAGAGTTGGAGAACATTCCAGATTCCAGGAGAAGGCTTCGATTGCTTGAGTCATCTTTAGAAACCCAAGTACGATCACTGTCACACCAGGACCCTTTCTAGCAGGACTCTCCTGCAATGCTCAGGTCTGTCCCAAAGGCTGGGAATCATGGGTGTCCTTTACTGTGCCTGGAGCCCAAAGGATTCCTCCTGTAGGACCCAGCCTCACAGTCCAGGGTGGGGGTCAGTTTTTGCAAAGGGGACAAGATGAGCTCCTTTTGCCTCTGACTTCCAGGAGTAAGGTCTCAGCCTCTCTTTTCTTCCCCACCAGTGCTGACTGAGATACTAAGGGACTCCTTTAGCACCCTGTGAAGCTGAAGAGGGCATAGGTATTGGGGTGCAAGACTCCTAGCACGGTCTGGGGGGCAGGAGGGAGCCCTGTCCGATAAGATCCAAGTCTCTTACATGAACTGGCTCTAGACATACTGTGTTCGGTAGACAAAATGCATCCTCCAAGCAAGTGTAAATGGGAATTTCACCAGGGGGCCCAGCCGATCCATCCAGACCCCGGGGGGGGGGGGGAACGCCTCCCACCCAGCCGTCCTTCATCAGCCCCTGACAGCAGCGTGACGGGACCTGGCTTACCCGAGTCGCACCCCGGTTCCGACTCCAGTGCCGGCAGGGCTGGGTGTTGGCTGGGGACCCCCTTTCTGTGAGACCGTCATGCCGACCACACTCCTGGAAGGGGCTGGGCTGCCATCAGATAGGAGGGAGCCCCGAGGCGGGGGCTCCTTCATGGAGGCTGTGACAGAGGCAAAGACAGAGTTGGTGCTGAGAAAGCGGGCCGGGCAGCGGAGGTCGCCAGTGCGGAAGTCCCGCTCTGCCTGGGGCCGCAGCGCAGACAGGATCTTGGAGGTCAGCAGCTGGTTGTCCAGGAAGATGTTCTCGCTCCACTTCCTGGTGACAGAGCCGTAGAAGGTGAGCTTGGGGCGGCCAGGGAGCCCCTCCTGCCTGGCACCACCTTTGGAATGCGGGTTCCCCATGGTGGTGCCCACCCCAGGCTCCCAGCCTCAGCGCCACAGCTGCCCCTGGCTGGGCTGTGTCCTTCTGATGCCTCGGTGGCAGGATCCTTCTGGAAGATGCGGTAATGGTGCCCTCTCTGGCTGCACTGGCTGACACGGCACGGCTGGCACGCAGGACACTGGCCCCCACTGTGACCAGTCAGGGTGGGACCTGTGCAGCGCTTTTTCTCTTTTGGTAAGACAATAAATAGATGACTAGATAAACAAATACATAGATCTCTCCCCTGGGCTGTGCTTGGTCTTTAGCAGGGGTGAGCAGTGCAGAGCAGTTTGCGTTCACGGTGAATAATCTATGACCGAGAAATGGCCAATGCTGCAGACTTAGATAATGAAGCGGAGGCTGCAGGGCAGGGTGATGTGGGGATCCGGGGACTGTGGGACGCTCCCTCTGCGGCCCATCACGGCACCCAGGGGACTCTATTTTATCCAGTGATTGGAAACCCACAAGCAGTGAGGCCCTGAAGGGCCATTTACAGCCCTCTGCTCTTTAATTTGAGGGTTCAGACAGAGGGTGGAAATGTTTCCTATGGACAGAAAAAAAAAAATGCACCTTCTACTGCTTTTCTTTTCTTTCTTTTTTTTTTTTGTTATAGCACCAGGGGTGGAACCCAGGGCTGTATGTGGGCTACACTAAGCAGGGGCTTGCTCATCCCTGAGCCACACCCCAGTGCTTAAAGACCTGGCTCTTGGGGATACCCCGCTGTCCGTCCTTCACTCACATACCCCAGGCTGAGTCTCCTACCACACAAGCCACCCACGGCATGGGCCTCCCAGGCCCTGCGACTGCGTTCTCACGTGAAGATCTCCGCATAGGACTCAGCTCCAGGCAAGGACAGACAGTGGGGCCTTCTCAGCTCTGGGGCCCAAGGACTCGGGGTTACAGCAAGGAGAAGGCTGGGGTCCTTGTATGCCAGAGCTTTTGAGAGGAGGGGTCTAGGTGCAAACCAGTGCAGGAGGGTATGTGCCACAGCCTGGATGCGTCTCCCTGGGGCCCCTATGTTGGAGATTCAATCCTGGGTCCATAGGAGAAGCAGTGGCTGGGTCAACGGGTTCTGCTCTTAGGAATGGGAGAATCCTCCTCCTTTCCATCAGGGGTCAATTTGTTAGAACAGCGACCTGCAGCCGCTCTGGTTTTCCTGATCTAACTGCACCGGGCTCTGAGACTTCTGGGGCTCCAGGCCAGGAGACAATATACCTCGGTCCTTTCTAAAAGCTGTCCTGTTATAGAGCAGAGGACAGACTGGAAAGGGCATAACTGAAACTGCCTGGCAGAGGAGCACAGAAGAAAGCTCATATACGAAGATGTTGGTCATCCTCAGTGACACCGAATTGGATGTATTTTCCATGGCCATTCATCTGCTACCAGTCCAGCAGAGAGGGTGACAGCTTCCTCGGATGTCATGTTAACAAATGGCCATCACTATTGCTACGGTAGATGTAGGTGAGGAAGACGTCACTCATACACGAATACCTATGCATCAAGTCAAAAATCCTAAATCCAAGTTCACATGTTCTGGGCTGGGCATTTCTGGTTATTTCTATATCACACTAAAGCCCAGCCTGGCAGCTATGACCTAAACCAGCAAATATGCAACAGATCCTGAAATGCAGCCTTTACTCAGGCTCCTGGGACACCGGACAAATCGTTCCCGCGAACCAAGGCAGACTTGAAGTCCTATGGTGTCTGCTTGGACCACACGGTCCACTCGAAGAAAGTTGCCATAAATACCACTGCCCAGTGGCTGACAGCAAGCAATCCAAATAAATGGCCAGTGGCAATAAAGCCATGGTAACAGAGGTAACTCATCCACGTATGATTCAGGACCCAGTGGCAAGTCACCTCTTAGGATGCGGTCACACCATTAGTGTCTCCCTGTGGCGGTTGGAGGAGTCTGCGGGTTCCCAGTGACTTACACCTGCACCCTTCACATGCAAAGCAACCGTGGTGAAGGCCACACCCCAGCACCTCCTCCTTAGCTGTTCCCTCTCCAGACCACAACTCAGCTGGTCCAGACACCAAGGCCAGCTGTGTCCCAGTGCCTGCCGAATGTCTCAGACCACCGTAAGCTCTGGTCTCCACTTCTTCCTGCCCCTGCCTGACCTGGGGCTTCCCCTAGGAGCCTGGGTGACAGGTCATGCCTCCTGCTTCCAGGAGACCGCCCGCCTAAGCCTCTCCCTTCTCATCTAACCTTGTTAAAACAAGTCCCAGCCACCCTAAAGGCACCAGCCACCTGGGGCCAGGAGGTCTGGGAACACCTCCTCCAGCTGCAGGTTTCCTTCCCCCATGCATTTTGTGGGGGCTGCTGTTCTTGCAGGGCTGGGGATCAAACCCAGGACCAGCTGTGTGTTAGGCAAGTGTACTACCAGATGTAAAACTAAGGCTGTGGTGAGCGTGTAAAGTGGTGCGATGCTTTGGAAAACTAGCCTGGCGGGTCCTCACCAAGTTCAACGTGACAGCCACACTTGGGGTCAGGCACACAAACGTGGGTCCGTGGGTGTGTGCAGCAGCTGCACCATTCACAGTGACCCGAAGTGGAAACCACTCAAACGCCCACTGGCTGAGGAATGGGTAAACGTAACAGGGTCCAGTGCAACCACACAAATACTCAGAAACGCAGTGGAGACACATGCTAAGGCTCAGGAAGCCTCTCACACGCTTAGCATAAGTTAAGACAGAAAGACCATGTACAGAACATGTCCACAGAGGGAGGAAATGTCTAGCACAAGCAAACCCATAAAGCAGCAAGTGGATCAACAGTTGTTTGGGGCTTCACTGTGGCTCGGTGGTAACACACATCTGTGATCTCAGCAGGCTGGGAGGCTCTGGCCGGAGGATCGGGAGTTTGAGGCCAGCTTGGGCTATACAGCGAGACAACAATAAGAAATGGGTGGGCTGAAGAGATAGCCTAGCGGGCAGAATGGTTGCCTAACATGAGCTGGGCCCTGGCCTCCATCCCCAGCACCACCAAAAAAAAAAAAAGTAAGATGGAAAGCAAAGAAAATGCCACTGTGGAGTTCAATTAGCACCATCTGCCTCCTGCAGGAAGGTGCAATCGATCGGTTGCTCCTGGCCAGCTACAGTGCTCGTGGTGCAGTCGCTTATGCAACAAGCCCAGGAAAGTCAGGGAGGGGGACGAGGAGTGAACAGCACAAATGGAAAAAGGCAAAAACAAAACAAAACAAAAAAATAAACAACCCTAGCCAGGCCTGGTGGCGCAGCCCTGTAATCCTAGCACTCGGGAGACTGAGGCAGGAGGATCACTGCAAGTATGAGACCAGCCTGAACTGCATAGTGAGACCCTGTCTCAAAAAGACAAAAACAAAATAAAACAACAAAGCAAAGCAAAACAAAACAAAAAAACCAGCCGTCATCCTTGGCCGCAGCCAGCAGCCTGCTCTTGGGATGATTTCTTGTGGAGAGTGGTCAGTGAGAGCAAGAGAAGTGACCGCAGCTGAACAAGAAACCCTGCGCTTTGCAGCCCAGCTCGGTTGCTGCTTGGCACGGTCAGCAGTGCTCCTGGTGACTCAGTTTCTCAGAAATCCTGGGGTGTCACTGGCTTTTTCCCGACATGCATGCTGGAGCCCACCCCCTCGTGTAGAAATGTAAGGACCCACAAGGACATCACTTGAGGAGACTGAATAGTTACCAGCACAGACAGTAATTTTAGAGGCAGCCCGGCAGGACACAGGCACTGTCCTCATTAGTTTTCAACTGTTCGTCACTTCTCCACTGGGGACTGAACCCAGAATGTTCCTACTGAGCTCCATCCCCACCTCCCAACCCTTCTTTTTTGAGACAGGCTCTTGTGACGTCACCAAGGCTAGGTGTAAACTAGCAATTCTCCTGCCTCAGCCTCCCAGAGTGCCAGGATTCCAGGTGAGTGTCACCGCATCTAGCTTTACAAGCATTAAACTCTTATGCACAACACAGAAGCATACTGACTTCCGGAAATGTCTACTTCTTTATTTTCTTGTTTTGGTGTCGCTGGGATGGAACCTGGGTCCTGGTGCACGTGGGGTGTGTCTACCTCAGAGTTGCATCTCCGGGCCCCTGGAATGTCAGCGTCTACGCAGCAGCTTTGAGTTCTAAGTTGCAAACTGCTGCAGGCCCTCTATGGTAAAGTGACTGAAAATAGCTTTCGAAAGCAGCAGGGCCTTGGCACTGAGGTTGCCATGGTTTTCTGCCAGGGGCATCAGACAACTGGCATCCAAGGTAGGAGGAGGCTTCCCTGGCTGCGTTGGCCAAAGAATCCCTACTCCTTTTCTCACAAGGGGCGCCCAGCCACTCACTCCGGGTTTTGCTGAAGACTTCCACTAAGAGTCTGGAGTGCCCTGGCTCTGGAGAATTCTAGCTAGGCACCGGCTAACAGCAAGAGTTCAAGAGGCAATTACAGATGATTGGACGCAAAATGAGGTTTTCAGTTCGCAGTTCGAGGCTTTTCGGCCACATGAAGACAGACAGGATCGATGCAAAGGCGACGCATTGATTTCTCTGTCCTGCCTCATTTTGATGGTAATAAAAACATAGGACAGGACAGAAAGAAACAGAGAGAGACAGACAGCAGAGACAGAGAGAAAGAAAGAAAAAGAAAAAAAAGACAGACGAAGGGACAAAGAAGTGCTCAACTTCACACCTCAGGGAACAAAGGACAATTTTTATTTTTATTTTTTGGTGCTGGGGATTGAACTCATGACCTTGCCCTTGCCAAGCAGGTGCTTA